TCTATTGTAACTACCAAATTGAAATCCTTTTTCCTTTTTTTGCACAAGTTTGTTTGTCTGATTTGTTTGTGAGCAGGATAAAGAGGTTGAATAAGATGATCTGTAAACATCTACTTTTTAAAAAAATACGTTTTTGATTCTTTAAGTATCTATTTTGCTTTAAAAGAAGTTTGGCTCCTTAGTTGGAGGGTGGTAGTGGGTTGGGAATGGGAATCAGGAGATGAGGTAGAAAAGAGGTTAAAGTGCTACATGTATTCTGCAAAATGCTAGCTGTGTACAATGACCCCCCAGATACATGCAAAAAAAAATCCGACAAGCTGAAAAATCTGCTTGTCTATCCATCTCTTCCTACAAGGAAGAATTACAAGTGCCTAGCACCATGCTATAGGCCAGGGAATGAGGTGAATGTTCAGGATTCTGCCTAGTTGGCCAGAGAGAAGCAGACACTGGTGGTGTCTGGTCTCAAGAAACAAGAGGCCGTTCACTCTAGGGGAGGGTGGAATTTTTCACCTAGGAATATCTGACTCTATTCTTGGTGAATGGCTAAGAATTTTCCAGTTCAGAGAGGGACTGGGGCCAGGAGAATATTTTAAGAGAGAAAATTATGTACCTAGGGTGGTAGGTGAGAAAACCACAGCCTATTTGGGGAACTCGTGTATATATCTGTGTAGAGGCTGTGTGGCTGGGAAGATCAGCACAGCTGGACCAGGAAAAATAAGCCAAGAAGGCAGGTGTGTTTGTGTGGTGAAGGCAGAGGAGCTGGGCCCCCACCAGACCCTTTGTGCTTACAGCGCTGCCCTGGGTAGATGGCAGGATGAGACTGGGAGGGGCTGTGAGCGGACTGAAGGAGAGATTCAAGTGAATAGGGGAGCCTGGCAGTTGCACCTGGCAGCTGCATTGGGAAGTCTGTGTAGAACCAGCTGGGATAGGAGCATGATCTTGGCATTCAGGAAAGATGCCGTGCCCCTTCATCCTCCCATCAGATGCCGTGGGCAGGATCCCACCATTAGATTGTTTTCTTTGGATAAAGTAATGAGACTGTAGGGATTGTATTTAAATGTACCCTCTAGAAAGAGGGCCACACTGACATCCCCTTTGGATGTTGCCATATGCTAGCTAGAGCCAATGCCTGTGATGGGGTCAGGCAGGTTTCAGCGCTAATTCAATGAGGGTGAAAGGGAAGAGATGCTGGTTAAGTAAATAGTTGGGGAGGAGAAGTTGGAGGGGGGTTAGATGGTAGAGGAGTGAGGAGAGAAATTCAGGAGGACAATTGGAAAAGTCTGAGAATCCGATGTGCACTCCTGTGTAAATCATCATGGCTGTTGCTAAAAGCACTTGGGTACAGTTGGGGCCTATAGTAGTGTGTGAGCTTGGGAGTCAACTGGGAGATTGAACCCTGTTCTGCTGCTGGTCAATCATATGACTGAACACATGTGTTGTTCCATTCTGAACCGGTGATTCTGGAAATGATTCTTACATGTACCATATGAAACTTTCCAGATACTTATTAGCCTGGAGTAAGCACTCCAATGATGGCATGGATACCACCCTTCCCCCTGGACTGGCATGTGACCCCCAGAAGGTAGGTAGAAATAAATGTCTTGGGGATGAAAGGAATAACCTTCCTCACCCCAACAGTATTAAGATTCAACAGTTAATCTAGTCATGACTATTAATGTAAGACCTGGAACTTTCTAGAGGTCCTTTCTAGACCAGCATAATAGCCTAGGGTTTGCAAGTCTAGACAGAACAAAGCCCAAAATCCATATCGACTTCAGCCTTCTGTGGAGTGCTGCCTCTCCATTCTTTGACTGCACAGAATTATACTTTCTGTTGTCAGAATCCCGGTGCACTTGAGTATCTTTTTGCTTACTCTTGTTGGGTATTTATGTAAAGCATGATCTTCCTGGAAGCTTATAGAACCAATTACAGAGAAATTTATATTAACTCATTTAAAATAGTTGTCAAATTTCCTATAAGGATCCAGATGTGTCTTTATTGTGTCCTGGACTCCTTATCAAGAGAAATGTATTCCAGGCCAGAGGGCTCTGGCCTGAGGCTGCTTATTACAGGATTTCATTCAGTGTTGGAACAGCACTTGGGGGATACTTTTAGGCCACTGGCAATTCCAGCTATTCTGTTTTGAAAGGACCATTCACAACCTGCCTAATGAGGCATTTGGAATGACAATCACATGGTCTTGAGTTGGGTTTTTCCCCTTTTTTGGGTGAGGATTGCTACTGCATATCTTGTCAGGTTATCCAGTAAGGTTTGAACATCATACACAGCATAAATGTATGAATTAAAAAATTCAAGTGGGGGTTAATCTCACTAAAAGTATTCAAGAGATAATTCTACCAGATTTTTCTGACATAAGTGACAGGTGCAAAATAACATTAAGTATAGCCACAGAAACAAATGCAGAGAATCAGGCTGGGGCAGGTAGCAGGCTCTGGAAAGGCCATCTGTGAGCTGCTTCCTCTTTTGTCTTCCTGGCTGAGCTTGCAGGTGCCAGGACCAGGACTGAAGGGACATGAGCGGTTCCATTGTGTCCCACAATGGAGAGTGCACTGGTAGACGCAGTCCACAAAAAACCCAACTCGGTCTGCAGAGGAGCTGCCAAGGGAGCTCTTTGCTGACAAGATCTCATTGAGGGTCGCTCAAATGTGGTCTCTGATGGGTCAGTACCTGGACAGACGTCCTCTGTCTGGCCTGCACTTTGTCGTTTTTTTCCAGGGTAGCTTTTACTCTTGGTTGTGTTTCACCTCCCTGGCTGCTTTGATACGGGATCATATTGTCTAGAGTGAATGGTCATTTTTGTGGGCATCCTCCCGCTGTTTTGTGTGATGAGCTTTGTGTCACTCACCCTGTTGGAGACAATATTGGCCTCAAGCCTCATCACTTACTGGTTTTCTCTAGATCAGTAAGCCGAGACTCCTTAGACTTCCAGGAGTATTCACTCTACAGAGCCAGAGATGTCTCCAAGCACTTCTTGAAGGCTATTGGGGCAGTTGCCTGAGGATGTAGCCAAGCTTTCCATGCTTTCCTCTAGCTTTTTCACTTGTTCAGAGAATCTTGCGGTGGCCAATTTGGGGGCTCTTGTACTTTTCTGTCAGCTATCTCACTAACATGGAAAATCAGTAGAGAGCGAACCCAGATGGCTCCCACCTGTCTCCCCAATCCTACCACAGACATCTGTGGCAGGGACCCCAAGTCTCCGGACCTTGGCAACATGATGCCATGAGCTCACATCTTAGGGCCAGAGGTCCAATTTGGGGCAGCAATACTGTTTTTTTCAAAAACATAAAGCTGTTTGTCTTTCACTTGAAATGAGGGGAGATGGAGCCAACGCAGAAGTAGTTCAAATAGTTTTTTTTTTTTAAGATTTATTTATTTGTACATATAGAGCTGGGGTACAGGCCAAGCCAGAGGCGGTGAGAGGCTTCACCAGAGACAGATTGGGGAACAGGCAGATCAATGAAGTACACTGCTGAGGGGAGCAGAGCAGTGCAGTGGGCGGGTCTGCAGAGGTCTGCCACGCCATGTGGTCATCTCTGGGGCAGGTGGGGATCGAACTCATGCGGAAGTTACTTTAGCTTCTCAATGCAGTGCTTTAATACGCTGGGCCACCAGGAGGGCCAGTTTTTTTTTTTTTTTAAACGGAAACACCAGCAACATTGGGAATAATGGCCTCAAACTTGAAAGAGTAGAAACTTAATAGTGAAAATTACTTTCAAAAATGTTCTTGGGTCAAAATTGAGTAGTTACAAGTATTACTTTTGAATATTTGTACATGATAGTTTTGTACTGGTCTAAGAACTTGGGTTCTTTAAAATGCTAAGATCTACAAACTGAAAAGAATTAGAATTCCTACTTCAAGGGTTTATGTTGTGACATTTTATTAACTTGGGGAATCAGGTTTTGAATGTTCAGATTTCTAAAACTAAGCAGTGTTCACATCTGTCACATGTCCTTTACTACTAATAAATGGAGGGGAGAGATCTGTAGTCGCAAATAAGTGTTGCAGAGTAGAGACAGGGCTGGTTTAAGCTGCAGAGAGGTCAAGTATCCTTTCTAAGGCTTTTCAGGTTGGTCAAGAGCCAGCCTAACTGAGCAGCAACAGCATGTATGTATGCCACTTACCGTTATCTGTGCTGCTTCTCTCCATGCTCCACTTAGTCTTTTCTCTCCCACTTCGGCTTACTAGCCAAGGCATCAAACCTACATGTCATGGCACAGTTTGTTGTAGCTTAAGGTTTATGGAAGGAATGTTTTGTACTTCATAAAAATGCTTAAACCAAAATTTAAATGAAAATTCATTTTCTGCTTCTGGACTAGAGTGTGAGGAACTTCTAATGCTTTTGGAAGCAGGATGGACTGAATCAACAGAATAAATTAGAATAAAGTAATAAGAGATAGCACAAAGAACTCAGGCTGAGTCTATAAGAATTAATAGCCAAATACACTTGTCTGAGCCAAGATAGTATTTCTATAACCTTTGGTAAGTATGTGAAGGAATGAAATTCACTTATCTGGCTTGATATTTTTCTTTAAGCATATAAAGCACAATGTGAAAACATGAAAATCTAACAATTCAGATTTCTTTCCAGGCAAAACTAACTTTCATACACTTCGCAACTTCAAGGGAGAACAATGGAATGCTGCCTCACTTGACAAAGAGAAACTTCAGAGGTGTGGGCAAATTAGGCAACAAGCACCTCTGTACTTAGTTCCTCTGGCAACAAGAAAAAAAAAACAACTGGGAGATAGGATGCTGGGGTTTCAGAAATTATCTTAGCAAACCTGGTAAGTAAATCTGCCTCTTTCAAGTTTATTGTTATTAAGGCCAAGATTCCAATTTTCTCCTATTTTGCTAAAAGAGCATTTATAAATAGGACTCTAATGAAATCTCCAGTTCACACTGAGACCAACCTAACTTGTGAAAAATACTGTTACCTCAGACATTACATGTAATGAAATGACAGTGTCCACACACAGAAAAAATTTGAAGAATTTATTTCTTAAAATTTACTTACAGGATTAGAGCCGATATAAGAAACATTTAGAGTTATGTCAACATTAAAAAAAAAAAGCTGTGGTTTCCCTTAGCACATGCAGTTCACTGCAAAGGTAAAAATACATACAATACTCTAGACAAGCCTTCTATAAAGTTAGATTTGTTTGGGTAAAGCACAGGAGAACTTGAAAGGGTGCAGATACAAGTAAATGGGACATAGCTAATATATAATGGATAGGAGACATACCTAATGCTAATGACTATTGTAGCACTTGCAAATAGCAATTTTTAGAGTATATTACTCAAAATACATTTATAGTAAGACTGAAGAATATTCAAATCTTCACCTTTAAAATACCCACATTATTTCGAACATCACACTTTGCTAATCATGTAACAGCATTTGAGATACCTAATTATTCAGACAAAGCTTGTATTATAAGGGGTAAAAGATCCAAAACAAATAATCATAGACCTTAGATGATAAAAATGCATTTATCAACTTTATAGTTAAACTTCATTACCCTGTTCTTTAATCACTTTGAAGGAACTACTGATTATAAAATGCTTTTAAAAATTCAGAAATAAATAGCTAACAGAACAGTTTGTCCTCAGCGGTCTTATTTTTGATGCAATGTTTACTAGAACATCGCGTTGATGAAAAGATGGATCTCACAATGGCTTTGGAAACTTTTGTTCTAACTTGTATCTGAAGTCTGTTTATAGTTTGAAAAGGACCTGAAAAATGCCATCTAGAACTGTTATCAAAGAAGAATTAGGTGGTAAGTTTACTAGTTTTGATTGCTTTTGAGACCTGTAATGCCCAATTTTAGGCTAAACTTAAATTTTGCCATTTTATGGCTCTGTAGTCTCTTAATTTACAGAAAAGTGCAGATTTAACATAACCTAACATGGGCAATATATTAATATGATGACCTATAATTAAACCCTAAGTATAGCTTATTTTGACACTGGTACCCATTTCAACAAAATTATTGAAATACAGGTTTAGAAAGTTCTTGAAACTAAATAGAAAATGATGTAGATTTTAACTGAATAGAGAGATTGAGCGCCCTGGCTTGACTAAACTTGGGTAATATGTGAGTGAACACATTTTAGGGGAATTCTACGTATTTCTTCTACATTTTTATCATGATTTGAATCAGGTGAGTATAAGACTTTGAAATATGGTTTCTATTTGTAAATAGCATAAATGTACCACCAGTATACTTCAACTTCATTAACCTTTAATATCACAGTAAGACAGGACCATTGATGGCTTCATGTGTAAAAACCTTTTATCAAGGAAAAAGGCAGCAAACAGGTGTGAACGATTTTGCTTCACCCCACCAGCTCATATATGCAAAGGTTGGGTATCTCTTGAGTGTTGATCGATCCATGCTAAAAAAGGATTCATTTAATTATAATGGGTTTAAAGTTGTATAGTTTACCAACATTATGACTTTAGGGTAGGATGCCAAAGATAGCAGTAGCAATACATGTTAAATACTTCTATGCCTATAAGGGCCAATTCTCACAAATAAACCATTCTCTGCCTACCTAAAACAATTTACATGCATCAAAACATTCTAGAACATGCCTTAGGTAATTCTGATGGTCATACATACTTCCCAAACGGAATTTTGCACAGTAACCATATACATTTAATGTCCAAAGTATTCCTGTGCTAGGGGGACACTCATTCTACCATGTCTCTACTCAAAAGTCTAAGTTCACATTTTACAACCCCACCCCTGGTGTATCAGTGTCACTCTAGGATGCTCTTCACAAAACTGTTGGATTATTTTGAGGAAAAAATAGTGGTAAGTGACATACAGCAAGAAAAAAATGTAGGACTTTGACCAGCATGAACGGTGGTGCCATTATCTTGTTGTATAATGTTAAGTACTTCTCCCTCTAATGACCTGTGTCTAGTTATGTTATCTAATGTTGGTTCTAACTGAACCAGAACTGGTTATATTAGAATAAAGCATCTACTGTGCCTCACAAAAACAAAATATATAAAGGAAAGTACAAGGCATTATATAAGAGGAAGTCTAAATTACACTTCAAGAGTAAGTGCGTATGACTTAGTCTTCAATTTTTTATTAGCAATGTCTTCTTCCTTGCTCAGCTTGTGTCATCTCTGCCACATCAAATGTGGTTGGTAATAGCATAAGTGCAAAAGTAGGACGTTTAGCACTAACCTCTGCAGCTTGTGGAAAGAGGTATAAAGTAGTACCAAGCAATGTTTAGAGCTAAGTTTCACCTACCTTACAATTGGCAGATATTAAAATACTATCACTTCATTAAGTGCCTCTACAATAGGTACTTTTTACATTTTGGTGAATATTGCCCCAACTCCTTAATTTGCTTAAATTTCAGCATTTGTCTGCTTAAAAATAACACAGCTTAGTTTAGGACACATAAGCTAATGTATAAAGTGCTTCATCAACCAAGTTCTCTGAAATTGTAAGATTTTAAAATGTTTATGTATGTAATTAACTATTAAGTTGCCTTTATAAGTGGCAAAACATTTAAAAGTCCTAGCTCTTACCTGGGTACTCTGCTGAGTTTCTGAAATGGATCTTCAGAGACTGTTAACTAAGGCAAATTTCTAAAATGAGTACTTAACTCCAGAGTTGCTTTCTTCTAACTGGCAGCATGAATCACCAGTAGAAGAGAAGTAATATAATATTGGTATGACCATAGATGGGCCCCTTTTTTCACTCAGACAAAAGAAGTAGGACTTATATGCCCTCTGGATCTCTATTGTCAGCTGAAGTACAGGGTTTAGACCTTGCTCCTCTAATTTCTTATATTCTTTCTAAGCTGCTTTGGTATTTTTTCTCACCAAGTTTATGACTGTATATTTAAATACTTGTCTTTCTTCAGTGCAAACATTCTGAAACAGCACAAAGTCAACCAGCCAACCAGCTATTCAGAGAATGAAATTTTATGTAGTGCTTACACTCAGACATCCAGGAATGGACATAGCCCATGTGAAAGTTCAGTACATTTTTGTCTGTAAGGGCAATGACTATGTATATTCAGTTAATGAAGACTTATCTGAAATTACAGATAATTTTTTACTTCCCAGGTACTGCTGAAGTTGTAACAGGAACTCGTCTTTCACTGAGGCATGTAGCCACCTCGTCTTACAGTCTGTGGTAAGTAACTTTTAAGCATTCCTTCATAAACTGCAGCCTCTGTCCTAACTGTTCCAAAGCTGTCTACTTGTCCCTCTGTAGCTGGACCAAAAGCATCTGCAGAAGAAACGTCTGGAAACATTTTCATTTGTCCAGATCCATAGGACTGTGAAATATGATCCGAAATCTGCTGCTGTTTAAGTCTAACAATATCTTCTTCCTCATTGACAGATGACACTTGCTTTGACCTCTCAAAATGTGAAATATCTGGACTGGTTTCATGTTGATTATTACAATTTTGTTTAAAATACTGTTGCCTGGGCAAAATGCCATCATTGCCATCTACACTATCTAGTAACTGTAGATCTTCTGGCCGCTCCTCGGAATCTAACAAGGGCTGAGTGGACTCAGATCTTGAGAAAACTTGCACAGATGGAACCTGATGTCTGTACCCACTGTGTACCACAGTTGAATATTGGACAGTGCTTGCAGTGTTTTGTGCAGATTCATTTTCATCACTGCTAGAAATGCTTGGCCTGGAAGATGACATACAAGATGATCCTCCAATGCCACTGCTGTGTCCTTCAGTACTAGTTTTTTCTTTCTTGAATGGGTCCAATGATTTCAAATCTTCAGTAAAAGTCTTTTTGGCATTTGCTTCTATTTCTACAACACTTACATCGGTAAAATTGCCATCTGAAAACACCTGATCTTTTGAATGCTGCAAGAGAGAAAATGGCTTATTGCATATGGTAAACATTCACAGGAATGTATATAGGAATGTATATATACACACAAATATTACAAAGCTAATGTGCATTAAATATTTCAGATAATCTATCATTAAAGAACTAACACTGTCAGAATCTGTGAGTTTTACATTTCATGCCTAGGGTTAATTTCAGAAATATACAAATATGGCTGCCTTACAGCATATTTACTTAACAGAAAAAAATTTTCTATTTTATCTTTTGGTTAAATTGCACAAATGTATCCTAACATGCTTGGGTGATAAGACACTCAGAAGCATTTCATCTTACCCTTGGAGGTGTGTGAGGAGACCACTGGGCAATATGACTCTTTGAAGGATCTGGAACATTGGGCCATATGTGTTTTTTAATTCTGCAGAGAAAATGGCATAGGTAGAACTATATTATGTAATAAACTGTAAATCAACTTCAACAAATACCTGCGATGCCCCCATATATATTTTCTAAAAAAAAAAAAAAAAAATGTTTTCACTCATAGCAGGAGTATAATGGACCAGATGACAAAAATAATAAACAGCTATATGCCAGAGATATTTTATGGGGGTAGAAAAATGCACTGGAGTATGGTGATGGCAAGCCCAAGGGATTACAACTGAGGTGAAAAAAGTACAAAATGATATTAAAAAAGTTTGGCCCTCCCTGGTGGCACAGAGGGTTTAAAGCACAGCACTAACAAGCTAAAGCCACTTCCGCATGAGTTCGATCCGCGGAGGTCACCACATGGTGTGGCAGACTTTCTCCTAACCCGCCCACTGCTCCCCTCAGCAGTGCACTCTGTCGATCTGCCTGTTCTGCTCCCCACTCTGTCTCTGGTGAAGCCTCTCACCCTCCGCATCTGTGGCCTGTACCCCAGTTCTATACGAATAAATAAATCTTTAAAAAAAAGTTCAATAATGTAAAAATTATTTTCTTGTAACCAATATAATACTGTTAGATTTGCATATGCATCTTAATTTAGTTAATCAGTATTCAATTAAAAATATCTGAAATCAAACCATGTAGTAAAACTGTAAAAATTTTATCCAGGTCATATGGGTCACATTTTATAACAAAAGTACAGATTTTTACAGGGAACAAAGGGATACCCTGAGTGAGCTGATTATCAAAAACCTATTTTAACTTAGAGTGTATGAGTAATACAATCTGGATATAATATAAAAACAAATGAATTCCTTGACACACAAATTACTGAAGAAAACCTGATTTTAGAACAAATCTTCCCACAAAGTATCAGGCCCAGATGGCTTCATTTGAAAATTGTGTCAAAAAAGAAAATTCTATTTCTATATCAAATGTTTCCAGGAAAAGAGAAACCTTGTAAAACCTTATTTTATGAGGTTAGTATTAAAACAATTCTAAAACTACGTGTAGACACCACAAAAAGGGTGGGGGGGGAATCTGTTTAACTGATGACAGATTAAAAAATCTTAATAAGCAAGTATCTGACATACATTTGTGACACTATCTCAGCAAAATAGAAATAAGATAAACTTACAGCCACATGCAATGGTGAAAGAGTTAATACTTTCGTCTTTAAAAGTAAAAGTAAAAATGATAGGGAGATGTCAGAGCTTACATTTTCTACTCCATACTCTTAGCAGAATAGGAAGAAACTAAAAGCATAAAGATTAGAACAACCATTGCATGTAGCATGTTATGTACATAGAAAAATCTCAAGGTGCCCATAAAACGTTAGTAAATTAAGGGCTCAGTGTGTAAAAAAATTAAAAAAAAAAATTAAACAGCAGGTCACATACTAGCAATGATTAAAAACTGAATTCTTTAAGAATTCCATTTGTAATAGTATAAGATGTGTAAGAACTATCCGATGGAAAGCTACCAAAAAATAATGAAACTAAAATGCAGAAGTACAAAGTTATGTTATATTCATGGACTGAAAGATTCAGGATCCCTAAGCTCATGTTCAGGATATACTTCTCTCTAACTTGATCTATAGATTCAGTAAAATCCCTATTAACATTCTAACGACCTTTTTCTTATATAAAATTGATAAGCAAAGAACATAGTTAAGAATTTCACTACTTTCTTTCCAAACTTACTATAGTGCTGTAACAGTCAAGACAATGTGGTAATGACATGAGTATACATATAAATCAATGGACTAGAACTCAATCTATAAACAGATCTAGACTTATATGGAAATTGATTTCAGCAAATATCCAGGAAGTTCAATGGGAATGTCTTTTCAAGTGATGCTGGAGTGATTAGATATTATGGAGGGTGAGAGGGGAAATGAACTTTGTTCCTGACCTCACACCATGCCCCAAAACTTTGAAATCAATTACAAACAGAAGGGGGGGAAAAAAAAAAGAAACAAGGGATTATTTGTGACACTAAATTAGGTTCACAGACAAGATGAATGTTTGATACAAGAACCATTAAGGAAAGGATATTAGTGGACATTACCATAAAAAACAAACTTGCTTTTTTAAAGTCATGGGTAAGAAAGCAAAGGTGCAAGTCACATATTTACAAAACATTTAACAAACATAACTAGAATATAAGAATCTTTATGGCTCAATATTAATTCAAAACTGGCTAGAAGATTTCACCACATCAAAACAGTCATATAAGTGGGAATGAGAAGATCCATTACTAGTTATCCAGAAATGGAATTTAAAACTTCAATGAGATAACACATTCATAAAAAAGAATGACTAAAATTAAAACTTCTGACATTACCATGCGAAAGTTATATGAACAATTGGAACTCATGTTACTGGTGAGAACGTAAGATGGTATAGCCAGTTTGAAAAATACAGTAACACTGGGTGTGGCAGAGGGTGGAGAAAGAAAAAATATGAGTAAGGGTACTTACAGATCTCGCTTATTAAAGCAGAACAATACTCCCAATAGGGTGATCAATAGGAAAGCTAAACAAACAGGTACCACTATGGCTTCAATTTCTCCTTGAGCTAAAAAAAAAGGAACAAGATGTGAACATGATGATGACATACATGCTAAAGAAATACAATGCAACTTCCTGCCCAGATTACTATTAAAAAGGTTTAATATCATCAATTTTTTACATCTTTTTCAAACTGAAGTTCCCCCACCCTCCTTTGGTAAATCATATCCTAGACACATGTCTACAGCAACCTGGCCAAACAGTAAGCATAAAATAGAGTGGAAAAAGCTGTATTTCAGTTTATTTGATATATGTTTTATCTGGTAAATTAAGTATTTTCAACCATTCACTGCATTTATATTCTTCACTCAGCAATCTTAGCAAAATACATCAAAACAAATGCAAGTAGTGAGTACAAATGGAAAAGCTGTAAGATAACTTTAATAACTCAAGTACAAATTTAACTTCTACAAATTAAAATAAAACTCTCAGGCAAAGTTTTTAGGTTTTTTACTGATTTCAAACATATGTCAGACATATGAGGCTAGAAATTTTACAAACATCTTAGTAGGTACAGGAGTGGCAAAAAAAAGAATATCATCTGCAATTCAACAAGAATCCTATCTGTATTTAAGGGGGCTAATAGTGCTACTTGCCTTTTTGTTCAAAATTTTTGTTTTAATTGTGGTACTAACGGTCCTCAATACTGTTTGCATTTTAGAGGTATAGGATTTCCCCCTTTCCTATAATGTAGATAATTTTAATAATTGGCTTACAGTTTCTATTAATTCTTCTAATCTCCCTTTAATTAGTCTTTCATAGTAAGGATGTAAGTAATACTGTAGTCATATTCCTTGTAGTTAATCTCTCTTCTCTATACATCCCTTTGTACATGTAACTCTACCTTCCCACAAAGTCTGATAAAAATCAAGAAATCAGATCACTGCTCAGTTATAAAATAAAGGCTGGGAAAAGGAACTACTGAATTGCAAAGGATCTCATATGCCAGCACTTTGGGCAGAACTTTTCCTTTATTGCTGCTCTAGTTTTATTGACTTTATACCTCGGGCTTTTGCTCAGTAACTCTATTTCCTGTCTGTCCACAGGATAATTTCAGGGTTCATGCATTGTCTCTTCCAAAGTATTACTTGAAGGTACTTTCACCCAGATTGCTTTAAATTCTTACTCTATTGTCTACATGGCTCAAATGGCTTTTCATATTGTTTGTTTATGCTATCTATTTCTTCAACTAAGCTATAAGGTACTTGGAGGGAAGATCCATGTCATATAAAAAAAGTCATAACAGATCCATAAAACAATAGGACATTCAGAAAAGCAGATGCTGAAATAATAATTATGATCTAATTTGGGGAGTATGCATAGAAAAGAACAGTAGAACAATACACAAATATGCTATTAGGTTATTTTTGGATGAGTCACCTTTCTTCCTCTTTTTATTTTACTGTGTATTACTCTATAATGAACCTTAGTTTTATAATCAGGATAATATTTTAGAAGTTTATTACTTTTTCCCTCAAGATCATAGCACACAGTTTTACTTCAAATATTATTTGTTATATATATTTCTATTAACTTGTCATCTTAAATCATGTCACAAAAATTATGTTCATTTTTGCCCATTACCACAAAGTTTGTAGTAACTCACCCATTTATTTTCTCATTTAGCAATAATTCAACTGCCAGTAAATATGGAATTTTTATTTAATAGTCACTTTATGAGTACTGGGAGTGGTTACAAATATGTTAAAATACAGTAATTCAAAGGATAGTGGGAACAATAAAGAATGCAGCTTAAGTTTGCCTTAGGCTGGCTATAGGAACAAATAAAACAAGACAATGAGGACCTATCTTAAAACAATGCACTGGTTAAGAACTGGAAAAAGTTGAGAGTATATGATGAGACACTGAGGTGCAGGAAAGAGATTATGTAAGGGCATGTACAGCCTTAATGAGAAGGCTTACACAAGTTCTAGTCAACAGAACTCAATGCTTGGCATAAGTGTGAAAATATGACATTTAGACATTAGCTATAATTTCACTGAAATATCTGGTTTTGGCAAGAGTTGGATGGTTGTGACATGGAACAAAGAAAATGAAAGGCATTTAGGAAGCAAGGAGAAAATGGTTAGCGTCAAAGGGAGTTTGAACAGACAGGTAAGAGGGTCCAGAACAGAACTTTGTAGCATATTATGAAAAAGCAGAGCAGAAAGAGATTAAGAAGCAAAGACCAAAGAGGGAGATTCAGGAGAGAGGTATTAGAAAAACAAAAGGTTAGAAGAGCCCAGGGAGAAGCGAATTCAAGGATGGACAGAGAATCCAATGCCAAGAGTAAGACATAGAGGGAAAAAAATGAAGAGTAAAAAGCAAGCACTGCATATGGTAATAGGAGATTTCTAACAGTGACATCAGAGTGGGTTCAGTGGAATAGTGGATTGGAAGTAGTTTCAATAGGTTAAAAACTGAGCTGGAGGTATCAAAGTGGTATCGATAAAGGTATAGTAGTCTTCCCAGTAACATGCCAATTAAAGGATCAAAAGGAGGAAAAAGACCACCCCTAAGTTTTGCCAGTGAAAAAATGAACCCAGTTATATAAAGAGGTACAAATTCTTTTGGAATTTGATAGGTGTTATCAGGAAAAGTTAACAAAGGTGACACTGGACAATATAAACCAAATAAACCACACCATTTCTCATGGGGTTTATCAAATGCTGTTAGAAAAAAGCAACAGTGTAACTACCTTTTTGATAATAAGAGACTAAGGTATATTTTACTAGGCAGAGCCATTTTAGCGATTCAGGTTATGGTTTTCCAGTTAAACTTACCTCCAAATATTCTCTTTTAATAAAATGTTCTGGAATTATCAACCATTAAATCAAAGGATTTCTCATGGTATGAAATATACCACTCCATGATCATTTTCTTAGCTATTAAGTAGATTTATGCTATCTATAATAATTATCGTGATATTGTAAAATCAGAATTTCACAATGTAAAAATTTGAATTTATGAACACTTTGAGTCCAAAGTGTACACAACATCCACTTTTAGTATGCTTAAATTTTAAAAGCAAAAATGATCACAAATCATTTCTTACCAAACTTGGGTGTAGTAAAAGTGAATTCTGGGCCATCCTTTCCACCTTCATCTGTGTATGCTGCCATTCTTACCATGTACAAAGTGTCACTACTCAAAGAAGAAAGTGTATATTCTGTGTGGGAAGAATCCACATTCACGGCTGGAAGAAATCAGTAAATCGGCTTTACTCAATTAATGTTTTTGCTTCATTAGGTTTACTATTTGATGTTGAGAACATATTAAAAGGTAGTAAAAGTTCATTTTACCAGAAAACAACTTCCATAACTCTTACACTCTGCTGTAAGCGCAATTCCCTTTTATCAGTACCATAAAAATAACTGCAAGGCAAACTCTAAATTATTTCTTTTCTGATACTGTATTAAGATGAATAATGTAAGAAATGAGAATTAAAATTAATATTCAAAAGCTTAAGAAAAAGACACTTGATTTCTAATAACTGATAGTTTGTATTACCGGTTTCATTTCCAATGATGGTTCTATAAAATATAGTATAATTTCTGATAAATCCATTCTGAACATCAACAGGAAGTTGGTCCCATTCTAAAACAGCTTCATTTTTCCCCACTTTTTTTGTCCGAACAGTAGGTCCTTTGGAAGGAGCTGGAACAGAATAAAGTTATTTGCTGAGAATCTAATGAATTTAATTTTCTATGATGAAATGATCTGAACATGAGACATTATGTTATTATTTCAAAGGAGAAATGTCTTTGTTAATACAAAAATGAACATTTTTTTCAAAGAAGTTAAGTTTGGACTTACGTGCTTGCTTAAGATAGGCTTTTATAGATTCTGGGCTTCCTGGGCCATCAGCATATACTGGAGTAACTGTTATCAAATAACATTTGCTTTCTATTAGATTCCCTAAATAAAGAACAGTAGATCAGGGTTTTGTTTTTTTCCTATTACTTGCATGGTAGATTAGGGATCCCCCCCACCATTAATTCCATTATTTCTACATTGTAATTCCACAACCATTGAACTTTCTCTTAATGTTGCAGCTTTTTAAGTAAGCATTGCCTTCTGTTTACCAGAGTCAAACTTATAAAACAAAGAAAAAGGTTACACTTTTATTGACAATAAAGTGGATTAAAAAATACTTCTTGCCAATAAAATTAATGATTGCAATTATATTCAGGTTTTGTAAAACAGAACCTTACTATAGTTTGATAATGTAGACATCTAAACTAATTCTCTGAGAACTGCGTAGTGAGCAAGATGCTACCAGCTAACAGCTAGGGAAAGCAGTAAAGGCCCTGGTGTTTCAATTGACTGCAAAAATACAGAGTTAGTGTATTTTCCTCAGAATTTAAAACAATTTTAGAAAAATAGAGACCTTTGACTATATTCTCAAAATTAACAAAGCAATCTATTCCATGCACACAACAGTAAAAATTTTCTTTACATAATTTTATCTGTGCACATGAGAAAGTGAGGTATCTGTTATATAGAATGAAGTTTAAGCCTTCTATGACTCATATTTAACTCCTACTATTCATGAAGTTATGTTCCTTTGCTTCTTAAAAATTTTATCTTCTCTTGATGATTTAATATTATCAATAATGTAAAGAATTTTTATACTTTGCTGCCATACAGTGGTACTGTCAGAATACCTGTCCAACTCAAAGTCCCCAGAGCCTACGCTACACTTTATTAACGTTTTCACCAATCTGTCTCTTTAGTCTCACCATGCACTTAAATGTATTAAAGCTGACAAACTAGACAACCAAATTTATTAAAACTGTATTTGAATAATAGGTTACTGACGGCCAAATAGTCTTTATGACTAAAGCTCACAAACTGTATAGTAAGTATCCTTTTGCTTAAGACTATGATCTAGTTATTCATAGCTGTATTCAATGGTTATCCTTCCTTACTAAAAAGCACATATAAGTTGTAGACTTGTTTTCTTTAAATTATCATTTGACATTAAAGTCATTTACTACATAGTAGCTAAAAAATGCCATCCATCCTGGAGCTCTCTAATATCATCATGTTCTGTCCTTCCTTACTACTCTCATTAAAAGTTAAAAGAGTTTTAGGAAATCTGCTTCCCCTTTTTAAAAGGAGTTACCCAGTATAAACTATCTTCCCACTAAAAGATGATGGGGTCAAATCCAGTATGGTACATAATATTAGCAGTGTATGTTAGGTTATCTTATATTTTCTTATTTTCTGTTTTGTGAGCTTTCCTTTGATGATAAAAGCAACACTGCAAAACAAAAAGATATTAACACCTTGCTCTTAAGAATAACATGCTGAGAGTCACATAACCAGTGACTAGATGTAACTAGTAACTATGAAGACTGAAAGTCTTTTCAATAGCCACACAGAAACATTAAAGGTGTACCTGTCCAAAGAATTAGCAGAAGGATATCAACTTCAATGTTTCTACTCAAGTATACCTTTTAAGTAAGTGTGATATACGGTACCATCTTCTTGTTGCCAGTCTTGGATGCAAGGTGACTTATCCGATAATACACACCATTCAAGTATGTATTTATTCACTGATTCATTTGGAGCAGTCCATTCTACCCAAAGCATGTTCTCTTTGGGAAATGCTTTAAGATCCGTTATGGGGCGAGTACCTTTAAACAGTTTGAATAGTGATTTTGATAAATCAATATTTAAAAATATAAAAATTTGACATTTTATTTCATTTCCGTAACTATGTGAGCTATCTTGCCTTCAAATTTTATATTCTATAGTATTAACATGTATTCCCATGAATTAAAGATACTTCAAAATGCATTCGACTATGGTGATGGCACATGGGTGATTTGGTGATGGGAAGGCCACGGGGACTACAACTGAGATGGAAAAATGCACAAAATGATGTAAAAATAAACTATAATATTATTTAAAAAAATACTTCATAATAATTTACATGTAAGGTAGTTTATTTTTGAAACTTAAAATCTTCCTTTCGTAAAGTTCTTCAAATTTGTTATATAAATTGCATTTTTCTTCTTTGATGCTGTAAACAATATACTTAAGTTGTGTGTGTGTGATATTTCCAAAACCTCAAAACATTTTTTAAACCAGATAATTAGAAATTCTTTAAATACCTTTTGCAAAAATTTAAATGAGCCATATAATGATATATTGTTTCACTGCTGATTTTTTAATATATGATTATTCCTGAATTGAGGAGACAGTCCAGTAACTTATTTCAATTATCTAAGCACCTCTTTTCACCCATATTTCAGGTTCCATCTCAGACACAAACCTTGAAAGTCATAGGCAGGGATAGTTAGAACAGATGCATCAGATCTGCCCACCAGATTTCTTGCTGTCAGAGTTGTTATATAACGGTCATTTGTCAGGTTTGCTATCAGTTTTGTGTCATTAACTGTGTAATTTTGTGAATGTGACTTCCATCTTGTTAGAGTCACTTCATAATCTAAGATTTTTCCATTGGCTTCAAAAGGAGGCAAGGCCTGTAGTAAAAAAAGTTTAAACATTTATTTCACATATCTTGAATAAAGTTAATCTGTTACATGCATAAATTCTGCTATTATGTCAAATATCTAAATATTAAATCAGAAGACAGTGACAAGTCTCATTTTCAACTCTTTAAGTAAAACTAAATACTGTATGAAGCATGACTTCAACTAAGAAGAAAAGTAGCATCATTTTTTTAACTTTTATATCTATACACAATTCTATACTGTGACTTAAGCGGACCGTATTCTTTTATGCCTGGGTATTTTTCATTTTCAGTATGATACATTCATGGATGAATATGAAGTATACACAATTTTATATTTCCTATCATTGGCATATATTTTGGTTACCTAAACCCTTTTATTTTCTGAGGTACTCAGGAAAATTTAATAAAGCACTTATATTTGTCAATAAAGTAGTTCTAATATTATGACAAAGTATGAGCCTCCCCTTACGAAAGTTATGGAATCTGACAATACATAGTACATACACAGCTATTTATTAAAAACGTATTAAATGTTCTGCTGGTATTAAAGTGAATAAAAATTTAAGTTAAAATACCATTTAAATATCAGACATAATACCATCTAAGATGTATTATGAAAGGATTATGTTAACTTTTTACCTTCCATATAAGTTGTACAGATCTGTAGCCATGAGCAGGGGATGGACGTATCTTATACCAGAAACTTGGTGCTTTGGATGGTCCTGAGGAAATGATAAATGTTTTAAAACAAAAGTGTTACTCATTTTTTTTTTAGAAATTTTATTTTCATTTAAAAAAATATTTCTTCATACAGAACTGGGGTATAAGCCGGAAGTGCAGGGGCGGTGAGAGGCTTCACCAGAGACAGTGGGGAACAGTACAGGTATATCGACAAAATACACTCTTAAGGGGAGCAGTGGGTAGGTCAGGAGAGGTGTGCCACGTCATGTGGATTACCTTCAGGAAAGGAACAAACTCACACAAAAGCAGCTGCAGCTAGGATGCAGTGCTGTATCCTAATCTGTTACTCCACCAGGTAGGGCCAGAAATGTTTAATTCTGGAAATTCTCTTACTTTGTTCATGATATTCTTTTCTTTCAGTAACATGGTACTTCAAACTCTTTACACCAGATTTTTATTATTCTAGCATGATATGCCTGTTGTCAGGATGATGACACAGATCATAACAAATTTCTAATATTGTGAAAAACCACAAATACATCCTAAGCAATGAGCAAAATACATCACTATTTTCTATGCTAAAAAAAAAAATCACATTAAAATACATACTTAAACAACTCAAATGTGTGTCAGCAAACAAAATAAAATGGAGCAAATGTTGTATATTACTAACAGGATATAATAGCAATGAGTTCACTAGATTGTAAAAATCACTGACAATGAACAGCACTATACAAAACATCAAATACTACTAAGTTTTAAAATTCCCTCTAGGGTCAAATGATTTTTCAAATTTTTTATAACTGCAACACATACTGGGTGGTTGGAAAAGTATGATGGATGCTTTCTGTTTTTCAAAGGTCATTTATTTGTTTGAAGAACAAAGATGAATCAATGCTATATTTCCCATTTTGTTCGATAACCTTTTGCCATCTTTAGTGAGCTTCCTCATTCCTCATTCATAGAGGGACCTATCTATATTAGTGTAAAACTGAACAGGGTGCTAATTTACAACCTCATCTGAATTGAACGTCATATGTCACACATTTCGTGCTCTTTTGAAGAGCACGAAACAAGTATAAGTCTGATGGCGCAAGTACAAGTCTATGTGAAAACCCATCCCACCCAAGCTCCAATAATTTCTGATGAGCGACCAGACTTGTGTGTGGTCTCGCATTGTCATGAAGGGACAAAATTCCTTTACGATTAATGAGCTCTGGACGTTTCTGGATGATGGACTGGTTCAAATTGTTCAATTGCTGACAGTACACATTTGAACTGATTGATTGGTTTCTTGGGAAGAACTCAAAAAACAGGACACCATTAAATCCCACTACACTGACAGTATATCCTTCCTCTGAAGAATGTCCACTTTTGCTATCATTTGAGGTGAACCACATTGTTGTAAACAAACCATCTCTCATCACCAGTTATCGGTTGCTTCAAAAAGGATTGTTTTCCTCACATTTAATGAGCATATCACAGATATTTATACGTGTCAAATGAATTTGAATTCATGAGGAACTCAATCACACATCCCAGCTTTTTCAGGTGGCCATGAATGCTTGAATGATGGATGCTCAGTGTTTCTGAAAAATCTGTCATGTTGTGTAATGTGGGTTTGACTCAGTCAGTGCCTTTATTTTGTTCATCAACTCCAGTGGGCCTCTCTGACCAAGGAGGACTGTTGAGATGAAAATCACCAGCTTGGAATTTCATGAACCATCGTTGGCACCGACATTCTTATAAAGCAGTGTAACTGTCAACTTTATGCAACTTTTCAGACTTGACGTGCATTCCTGCCTTTATGAAAGTAAAACAGTAAAATGTGGCAGAAATGTAGTTTGGTCTTGCATATTCAACATGGAAAGCCTCCAAATTGCTAACTTATCATTCATTTTTTTTTTTTTAAAGAACTAAGCTAGAACTGTCAGCTATCAACTTACTAGCAACAATATAGATGCAAATGACTCTAGTACTTACAAAAATGAACTAAAGCCATCTGTTGCAAAAATACATCATAAATTTTCTGAGAAGACAAGGCATTCAATAGGATTAAAAAAAAAAAAGATGAGTTAAAATCTAAGCAGTGATATTTGGATCATGAAGAGAGGTATTATAAATTCTAAGAAAGAGGTCAGGCAGACCAGAAGGTTGGGAAAAGACTGTCTGGTACAACAATACATACATACTGAAGTAGAGTGCAGCACCCAAAAATGAACATGAAATCCAAAGAACATTTCTGGGTTAGAAACAAAAAGAAAGCAGAGGCTTCATTCACTAAAGTTAAAGAATAGTTCACAACTTTCTGCACTCCAGATATCTTTTTGATTTGACAAAGATCATGTACTATTTCCTCAGTAAATACACACAGGCACAAGCCACAATATTTTGTCTACACTTCATAAACTATTTCAGGAATTTCTCCCAATTGACCCACATATCCCTCAGTCCCAGGAATCCCTGTTTAAGAACTACTAATTCAGGATTCCCAAACCAGTGATAGAGGGATTAGCTTTCTTTTTGGCATTTATGAGCTGAGAGAAAATTCTTAATCAAAGTACTTTTCTGTCTTTGAATTTCCCAAATCAATCTATCCAAAATGGGTAGTACAGCTGGAAGGGAAGTTATAAAGCAATGTTACTGACACTGAGACCTAAGGCCGAGACTGCAATAGAAAAAATTTTACAAAAGAAAAACATATTTCTACATTGTAGTAGAAGTAATTTTAGTTGCTATCAGCAAATTTCCTTTTGGATTCTATATTGTATGCACTGTATCATGGAGAAAAAAAAGATAATGAACCAACCCAAAACTTTAGGATCTTTTTGCAGGAGGTTATCAAGTATGTAGAAAAAAATACAGTACAAATGTCTTTTTGATAGTGAGAGGCTAGGTATATTTTGCTAGGTAGTATGTTATTAATGATCCAGAGTATGACTATAAGTTAGGACTCTCTTTGAAACACTGAGTTTACAAATTGTTTTGAATGCTCAACCATTAAAACTTTTTTCACAGTATCTAAGACATACTTCTTGATCACTTTCTTAGATATTAAGTAGATTAGGGCCCTCCCTGGTGGTGTAACACGTTAAAATGCAGCAGACCTCTGTCTCACCCCTGATCGCCTCAAGAGTACACTTCATCAATCTGCCTGTTCTGCTCCCCACTCTGTCTCTGATGAATACTCTCACCCCCTGCACCTTTAGCCTATATCCCAGTTCTGTATGCATAAATATTTTAAAAAATACATATTAAACTTTCTATTTTAATGACTGAAAAGTGCAAAGTATTGGTGTGAAAACAATGATCACAAAATGAAAATAAGATCTAAAACCAGGCAGTTCATATCTAGACTTCCAACATTTATTTCTTCATATACTTATTTACTTACTATCTTCATATGTGATGCCCCTTGCTTCTTCACTCCAGTCACTCCAGAATCCTTTACCATCTTCTTGCATGCAACGAATTCTAAAGACATACTCTGTAAAAGGTTTAAGGTCCTGGACAGTAAATGAAGATCGGGTGGATGCTGTATCTTCAGGGGGAATCTGAAAAATAAATCCAAGTCAAAACTGGTCAGAATCAGTAAATTTAATAGATGTGGGGCGCATGAAAACATCAATTAACTCATTCTTCCTCCCTTTTATTTTTCTTTCTGGGACCTGTAACACTCAGGATCTAAGCAGGAAAAAAATGCCACACTCAGAATTTAAGATGAATTTAGTAAAGGGAATATGGGAAGAGTATAAGAAAACCTTAGTGCAGTCAGTACTGTGAAGCTTGTAGTTAAGTTTAGCTTAAGGGATGCTTAAAAGGAAGTGGAGTGAGGTACAAATATGCTGCTCTCATGTCTCGTCTGCCAGGCCTCTTCTTCCCACTAACCAAATTCTTTAGGAAACTATATGGAATAGGAACCCACAGATAACAATCATACAGGTTAGCATCCAAGACAAAGGAGGTAGAGAATGGTATAGCTCTAGGAGTTGTGAATATAATTTTTTTAAAAAGATCTATTTATTTATTTATGCATGTAAAACTGGGATATAGGCCAGAAGTGCAGAGGATTCACCAGAAACAGAGTGGGGAACAGAAAACAGGCTGTCTGATGAAGTACACTGCTGAGGGGAGCAGTGGGCCAGCAGGAGAGGTCTGCCATGCCATGTGGGTCACCTTTGGGGTAGGGATCAAACTCATGCTGAAGTGGCTTTAGCTTTTTAGTGCTGTCTTTAACCCACTGCGCCATCAGGGAGGGCCATAATGTTTTTTAAGAAATAGGACTACATACAGATAACTATGTTCTTTCTTTTACCCTGAAATATCCATATTAGATACAAAATGTTAGCTTTTTTGGTGCCACTAAAGTAACATTCTATGATAATACAAAATATTTTGAAAGCCTTCCAGTAAGTATTCTCTCTGTTCAATAATATGCATTGATCCCTTTTGGTTTGTTTTTTCAACTGTACCCTGAGCTATTTCAGTCAGTGGAATAGAGGGCAGAAGTAGTAAGGTCATGGTCCTTAATTCCCTTATGAATTTGTTATTGCAACCAGAAAAAGAAAAAGCGTAATGCTGGTAGCAAAAGTAAATGTATATAACAGAGCAGTGTGGGAAGCTCAGTACTATAGTGACAGCCTTTAAAAAAAATTTATTTGTGCATACAGAACTGGGATACAGGCCAGAGGTGCAGGGGTGATGAGAGGATTCACTTGTTCTGGGGAGCAAAACAGGCAGATCGACAAAGTACACCGGAGCAGCGGGCGGGTCAGGAGAGGTCTGCTGCGCCATGTGGTCACCTCCGGGGCAGGCGGGGATCAAACTCAGGCGGAAGTGGCTTTAGTTTCTCAATGCTGTGCTTTAACCTGCTGCGCCACCAGGGAGGGCCAGTGACAGCCTTTTTAAAAAATCCAAGTATTTCTCCACTGACAGCTTCTTTAGGTACATAGCCCTTTTCCTTTTCAGTTACACAAGTGCCTCACCAACCTCATGCTCTACCACAAAAGCATCAGCAAATTTCCAAGTAAATATTGTAAGGTGTGGGCAGCACTGTTACTGTTCAAACTCTTTCATCTGTAGCACAAAAATAGCCAAAGCCAATATAAACAAAATAGTGTGGTTGTTTTCCAATAAATAGATACAGAAACAGGTAACATGACTGAATCTGGCTTGCAGTCATAGACTGCAAACCCCAATTCCTATATACATAAATAAATCTTAAAAAAAAGTGAGGGAGTTGGGTGGGCAACAGGGAGAAGTACTGAAATATGCTACTTAGGAGAGCAACAGGTTAAGACAGGAGAGGTCTACTGTGTCACTCTGCAGCACTTCTCTAATCCATGTAAAGGAGGTTGTATGCAGCAAAAATGTGTATTTTTTAATTTGGAAATCTCTGTTCTTGCTTGAAATAAACATCAACAGATATCAACCTGAATATTTCACATAATCAGAAGCACAAGACATTCTGAAAATGATCAAGACTTAAAAAGTATTCAACAAAGGCTATTTGAATAAAAAGTAATTTTCAATTTACCTGGCTCCAAGTTGAAGAATCTTTGGTCTTATATTGAATGTTATATTTCAGTCGTATGAAATTTTTAATATTTGAGTTGATCCATGTCAATTTTAAAATACTAGACAGTTCCTCTGAGTTGCTAACTGATAAATTATGAGGTGGATTGGGTTTCACTGAAGAATAAAATAAATACTAATGTTTATCATGTTATACTTTTACAACTTATAAAAATTCAAATATACACTATACATTTTAAAACATTTATTGCAAAGACAAAAAATTTCTTCAAAATGCTGTTATGCTACAGTTTAACAGGAAAGATTTCAAAAGAAACTAGTGTTGCTTTCCTTGGTATTTATTGTATTTGTTAATATTCTTGGGTTCAAATAACAAAAGAAAACTGAATGCAATTAATGAAATTAAAGAATAAAGATAGGATACATATGATTATAAAGTTGTAAAATGTACAACTGAACAAATACCGGAAAATAACATTTAAAGTGTGGATGAATATTTTTCTTTTTCCAAATTATTTTTAATATTGATGAATTTATAAAATCGTTAACAAGTGATTATTTCAACATTAAAAGCTAAAAACTAGTCTACAAGACACTATCTCCATAAGTGCTCAAATTCAGGTTTAAAGCTACCTTTATCGACGGGATCAAAATTGATGTGATCTGATGTAGCATTCCCAAGGGCATTCTCTGCTTCTACCCAGACTTCAATGTTGACAAAATACACAGGAGAATAATCTACGGTGCATGAAGTGGGGGTGCTCCGTTTTGTTTTACAATCTGCAAACTTCTCTGTTGCCCTAAATATAAAAATGGAGGAAATCAGTCACTTAAAAGATCTGAAAGAAAGTAGAATGAAAAAAGTACTTGAAAAGAACACGAGACCTAGACTGGTATAGTTTGGAATTAAATTTAAATAATTCTGGTAAGTCTGTAATAAATTACTGGTGACTAGAAACAAAAATTCCTTAAAAGCTAATCTGACTTTAACTGTGTTTCTTAAAAATTTACTGTTAATATTATATTCACTTTTATACTCTATCCTTACTGACTCCTCTATTTCCTTATTTTGGTACTGTGTCTTCCCTTTACTAAATTCTTGCTGTACTAATGGTGGCTATCTGTAAGAACAATATACTTTCACTAACAAGCATGCTGTGGAAGAGATAGGAGAACAGAGGTTAAGAATATCTACTAGCTGGGAAAATTCCTTGTGCCTCTTTTCACTCAAACTTAGGCAAACACTTTCTGAGTTATATTAGCACAGAAAATTTCAAGTGCAATTGTTATATTGAATTACAAGTTTAAATTATGCACTGATATTTACATATTAATACATAATATTTATATATACACATAGTTTTAAAAACAGGTAAAACAAGTGAGGTAATGTGTAGGAGGAGGGATACAGAAGATAGGGAACTAAGACTATTTCAGATTTGATTTTTTAGATTTTGTCACTTTACTTCAATAAAGCTCCTAAATATCAAAAGCAAAAAGCATATATACTCTTGTAGTATGCTGTGATATAATACATGGAAAGGAATAATATCCAGTCATTTAGTTTTATCTTTGGTGGAAGAAAACCTCAAAATTCTTTTTAGTAATCAAATTTTTCATGTTAATACTATTGACATTTTTTTCTGTAGTTATATTTATTGTGAAACAAAGCAAAGAATAATTATGTTGGTGCTATTGGAAACTAAGATTTTCAGCATATAAAAAAGCTGTTGCTGCTAGATGAAATAAACAGCCTACAGTCCTGACTTTAATTTGGAAATGTAAGTATGAATCAATAATGTATTTTATCTTCCAAAAAATTTTCCCTAGCTCTTTCCACTGAGTAAGACCAGAAACAATGATAACCCATTAACAATATGTTTCCCTAGTACCTAGTTTCTAAGTAGTATTTCATATTAAATGGAATAGGAAATAGTTTATTCTGGGACAGAACTTGGAAAAACAGGTCATATCAGAAATCAAGGAAGCTGTCAAGACTAATGAAGTTGTGTCAAAAGGATGACACAAGGAATAAGTTCCTATTAACTAAAAATGGAACAGTTTAAATATCAAGAATAGTAACCATAATAGATTAAAATATAAAACATGCTTAATTAAAAATGAATTCACAATGAGGGTATAAAAAATCTTCACTATCTACTTTTAGAAAATATTGGTAAAGCAACTCAGAATTGTTTACAAAGGGAAAATATTACACTAGTTTGCTTTTCTTACATGTATCTCAGAGTAAGTGATAGCTGCTTAAGGAAAGTTTTAAGTATTTCAGGGGAAAAAGATTAACTACCACCATTTTGTATTTCATGACACCTTAAAATTTTAAGTGAAAAAAACAATGGGACACTCTTTGCTGAGTCGCCCTGGTTTCCTTCAACACTGTTTGGAGAGACTCATCCTTGACCCAGGCCAGAAACTTCTGCTACTTCCTCACAGAACCACTGGATTTCCCATGACCTCCTACCACTGACTGGGGATAATGCAGTGGCCACCTTTCCTCAGCTTTCTGAAATGAAAACAGTGACCCCTAGCAAGTTCCAGAATGATCACTAGGACCCTGGGCCACCATCAATTTCTACATAAACTTGGAATTATCTGCCTCTTACATAGACCTGCACACACCTTACCTCTTTGATTAAGATGTTGTGGTTTTGCCAAATATTTTCTTCTTTAATTTTAGGTAGAGGGGGATATATTAAGAAACTAAAAAGGTGAAGAACTCAAGAAGTAGACAAATCTTCCTTCAGGTTATTGAGAAATCAGATTGTGACAAGTGGGAAAATGTTTTTGAAAGTACTGGGAATGTGTTAATTACACTTAGAAAAAAGTGTGCATCATTCACATTCCATTTGTGGAATGGCACAAAATGGCCACTGACAAAAACATCCCCTAACTAGTGACATATTTTTCATCAAAGAATTGGGTGACCATGTAACCAACTTGCACAAGAAGGGAGCCCCTGAATTTGGCATGACTGAGTTATGCCAAAGAGACAATAACAAGGAGAGTTAAGCTTTAGGCTGACGTGTCCTAGCTGCATGTATGTGTCCCTGGTCACCAATGCAGTGCATAAATGTCCTAAAAACATCTACTTAGGTCCCTTCATTTATACTATTCCTTCAAAAAAGTTAACTTATCACACCTAGTCATTATCACCCTGCCAAAAAACAAAAAAAAAACTAATGGAAAGGAACATGATTAAATACCCAAAACATTCCATTGAGTCATAAAATCCTTTCACAGAAGAGTAAAGAGTGTATGTTGTATAATTCCAATGATACAATATTATGGAACAGACAAAAATCTGTAATAGAGAAAACCAGATAAAGCAGTTCTCATAGAATGGTTATGGTTGAGACTGACTAGGAAAGGGCATGTGGTAACTTTCTGGGAGTGTTAGTACTGCTCAATAGTTGAAAAAGGGTTATGAATCTCAGGGATAAATGTACAAGTCAACACTCAGTGAATGATATATCTAAGTTATGTCAAGTTTAAGGTGTATATACATTTTACCTAAAAAGTATTTAAGGGTGAAGTATACTAATGTATACAACTCATTTTAAAATGTTAGAGGGAGAAAAAGATATATAGATATATAGATAAGTGATAAAACAAATATAGTAAAATATTAATTGCAGAATCCAGATGGGGATGTGTAAAAGTTCAGTGTAAAATTCTTTCAACTTGATGTTTGCAAAAAACTAATGGTCTATTAAAATGAAAGGATATGGCCAACAAAACCTGAAACTATAGCTCAGTCTTTGTATCAGAGTCATTATGTAGTGATCCCATGTAGAAGTACACACTCCTTTTAAAACTTTAATGGGAAAAAAATAAAAACTAAAAATAAGTAAGTCTGTACCTAATAGCAAATTTTAGGAATAAAGGGTCATAGGACTGTATTAAACAATAAATACCTAATAATTTAAATAACTTCATCATATACAAAAAGCAGACAAAAACTTTGGTATGATTAGAGGGATTTAAAGACAATAATTTCCAATACATAGTTTATTTTGGTTTTGATTTGAAAAAATGTAAAAAAATATATTTATGACATATCTAGGCAAATTTGGATGCAAAGTACTTTCAGCTATATGTGGAAATAATAATGGTTATGTAGCTATTTTTTCTAAGAAGTGTCTTTTTGAAATATCCACAAAATATTTAAGAATGAACGTAATTGATACCATTAATTTTATTCAAAATAGGCTGGGTGGGATATATTTAAGATTGGCAATGAGCTGATGTTGATGCAGCTGGATGATGGATAAATGGAGATTATACTATTCTCACATTTTATATGTTCTAGAATAAAAAAATTAAATAAAAACGGTTTTAAAAATTGTACTTAATGTTACTGAGGAAAACTCCAGCATAAGTGACTAAACTTAATAAATTCAACACACAACCAATTTAGAATAACTTACCATTCAGATTTTAAGGTGAAGTTCGTATCCAGATGGGTTTCCTTTCCAGGATCCCACTGACACATCATTTTCTTTCCTTCATTCACAATGCAAGTTAAATTTTTAGGTTTTTCTGGTGGGACTAAAAAGGAAATAGTGGCAATTCTCAATACCTTTATATACATAAACAGTTTATGTACTAGACTATACTAAGATATTTACAACTAAATTAAGATTAAAAAATGACAAAAAAAAAAAAAACAAAACCCAAGCAAAAGGTATGTACAGATTGGTGATTAAAAAACAAACAAAACCAATCTTGATTTAAATTCAAACTTCCCTTTACATCATTAGCTAGTATTTTTCAAATATATTTTTATGTAAAATCAGCTTTCGTTTATAATTGGATAATATTGGGTTGTCATAAAAGTCATGATATATTTTTGCAACAGATGGCACTATTTCATTTTTGTAAGTACTAGAGTCATTTGCATCTATGTTGTTGCTAGTCAGTTGGCAGCTTCATTCTTAAAAAAAAAAAAAGCAATTCGTTAGCATTTTGGAGGCTTTCCATGTTGAAGATGCCAAGACCAAACTGCTTTTCTGCCACATTTTACTATTTTACTTTCATAAAGGCAGGAATGCACGTCAAGTCTGTGAAAAGTTGACAGTTACACTGCTTTATAAGAATGTCGGTGCCAACGATGGTTCATGAAATTCCAAGCTGGTGATTTTCATCTCAACAGTCCTCCTTGGTCAGAGAGGCCCACTGGAGTTGATGACAACAAAATAAAGGCACTGACTGAGTCAAACCCACATTACACAACATGACAGATTTTTCAGAAACACTGAGCATCCATTATTCAAGCATTCATGGCCACCTGAAAAAGCTGGGATGCGTGATTGAGTTCCTCATGAACTCAAATTCATTTGACACGTATAAACTTCTGTGATATGCTCATTAAATGTGATGTAAACAATCCTTTTTTGAAGCAACCGATAACTGGTGATGAGAGATGGTTTGTTTACAACAATGTGGTTCACCTCAAATGATAGCAAAAGTGGAAGGATATACTGTCAGTGTAGTGGGATTTTAAAGGTGTCCTGTTTTTTGAGTTCTTCCCAAGAAGCCAATCAGTTCAAATGTGTACTGTCAGCAATTAAACAATTTGAACCAGTCCATCATCCAGAAACGTCCAGAGCTCATTAATCGTAAAGGAATTTTGTCCCTTCCTGACAATGCGAGACCGCACACAAGTCTGGTCGCTCATCAAAAATTATTGGAGCTTGGGTGGGATGGGTTTTCTCATAAACTTGTACTTGCGCCATCAGACTTATACTTGTTTCGTACTTTCAAAAGAACTCTATGTGTGACATATGACGTTCAATTCAGATGAGGTTGTAAATTAGCACCCTGTTCATTTTTACACCGATATAGACAGGTCCCTCTATGAATGAGGAATGAGGAAGCTCACTAAAGATGGCAAAAGGTTATCGAACAAAATGGGAAATATAGAATTGATTCATCTTTGTTTTTTAAATGACTTTTGATAAACACAGAACACATGCATCATGACTTTCTCTGACAACCCAAGAATATCGATTATTATGCACATTTGAAAAAGTAAAATTTGCATGTTAATAAGCAACAGAAGCAAAAATGCCTGATTTTTGTTTCTTCCCATTGCCTATGCAAACTTTTGGAAAAAGCAAATGCTAAAATCATTGTTTTGAGTGATTCATAAATGTGATAGCCCACTATAGGATCATAGTATGTTTACTTATCTACTTCGACATAAAGGGTAATTTCTCAAGCATTTATTCAACTTCTTTGGGCAGCCCTTTACATGTTCATGTTCTTAGCAATTCAGATATACTGATTCATATTAACAATACTTTTTTAGGTCTCATATTTAAGTGCTGTTCTAGAAAGCTGACAGATGCTGATTTTCCAAAGTCATTAAAATGAGTTAGTCTCTAGGCTTTCTACAGTTATGCAAATGTTAATTCTATGTCTAACTTAACTGAAGTAAAAAAAAACTTTTCAGTGCTGAACAGTTACTGCATTTCATTAAGAGCCAACAGACATTACAAATGACTTGATAATCATGACAAAGTTTTCAATAATACAAAACAAAACTTACAGCCTGAAATTATTCTGATTCCATAAACATTCTGATCAATCTGTCCAAATGTACGCATGTTGCAAGTGAGCTGGGTAGTTAATGCAGATATATCTGTAAATGTGACACTAGATGCTGTTCTGTTTATGATAGTATATTGTTCACTAGGAACAGTAACGTGGTTTGTTTTCCAGAAAATGTAACTTGCATTTACATGATAATAATCCATACATGATTCCTTTAGCACACAAACTGCAGTGAAATTTGAACCAAGTTGCACAACTGGAGACTCAGGGGTGATATGACCACATGGATTTAGAAGTTCACCTGAAAAGAACAATAAAGAGAAGATATAAAAGTAGACTAAATTCTTCTGGTAAAAAGTGTTTTATACTCAGACCATGTCTACTTCTAGTATATTTTTTTCTTAAGTGTATTTTACTCAAATCTTAATAATACATACTTACTATTCTTTTTCTAATATTTACTTTGGGCCAGGAACTGTCAAAATGCTTTCTGTATGTTAGCTCATTTAATTCTCAAAATAACCCTAGGAAGTAAGAACTATTATTGTCTTCAATTTATAGATTAGGAATTTGAATCAGAGATTAAATGACAAGCCAAAATCCTGTATCTGTTAAGTAGGAGAAGTAGGATGGTATTATATTTAAATGTGATATGTACAACTACTATCCAACGGGTAATCCAGATGGTGCTGGAAATCAAGTCCTATAGAGAATGAATAAAACAATGGGTAAGTACAGGTTGGAGAAGAGAGGACTGGAGGAGACACATGAAAGCTGTCTTTCAATACTTGAAGAAATGAGCAGTGGGCCTATTCCACAACAAGGATTAACAGGAAAACTATAAGCAGAAAAATTTAGGTTTAAATTTGAGGTAAGACTTTCTAAAGAAAGATTTTAAAAAAGCTTTCTGTCGCTTTTAAGTATTCAAAAAGAAGCTGCACTCCTAGACTTGGAGAGGACTTAGTTTTTCTTCCTTCCAATATGTCAGACTTACATTTTTATGCTATATTGTGTTTCTATGAGATAAGTTTACTGAGTATGTGCTTAGATGTCATGGCTATGATCAACTGCTAAAACTTTCTGCTTACTTGGCTTCTATACTTAACCTCATTGTAAGCTACTAAGAACCAGTTCTCAGAGAGGCAACAGGAGATTTACCAATGTGAATAGTGCCCTTTATTCTGGTTTCACAACCATAAAGCTGCTCAGTGGATATCTTTGGCCAGTAATAAGTAAAATACTGAGTTGTGCCTTCCTGGTGACCTAGGAGCTTAGCCCTATCACCACTACAGCCTGAGTTCAATCAAGCCAGGGAGCTAACCCACATATGGCACAACAGATCTCTCGTCTCACCTACTGCTCCCTTTAGCAGTATATTTCAGTAAATCTGCCTGTTCTGCTTCCCTCTCTGTCTCTGGTGAAGCCTCTTACCACTCCTGCACCCCAGTTCTGTATGAATAATTAAATCTTAAAAAATAAAAAGACAATTTTCTTTTCCTACCTTAGTTATTGTTGGTATAATTAAACAGCATTTAGAATTACTGTTTCAACTCAAATTATACAAATTATAATTTATCTAGAATATTTTTTGACCTCCTAATATCCTTTTTAAGAGACCATAATTCTTTCAATAATGATCATGGAAAAACGAAATATGTAAGTTGAATTATATAATAGGCATAAGCTAATTATATTAAAAACAAAACAAAACAAAAAACAACAACACCTAATCTGTAGGAGTGGGAAGAAAGATATTTCATGAGCCTTACCTATACATTCAGAGGTGAGAGCAAAAAACAAGGCAGGTACTATCCAAGTCTGTAACGTCAACATCTTGTACAGATATTTCTGTAAAAGATAAGTAATGTTACTTCAAGTTTTTCTATTCTATGTATAAGTTTAAACAATTTATAAAACTCTTTCATTTCCATTGTAAAGTTGTCTTCCTTAAGTGTAAATTTTTTATGAAAATGCAGAAAACAAGTTTACATAGAATATTGCTATGAAATGTAACATACTTTAAGTTTAATTAAGGGAGCAATTCTATTATATTACGTCTTGCATTCTAAAACTGGCAAAACTCATCATACACAACCTCAAAAGATACTTGAAAAAATGGGGGAAAACTTTGTAATTCATAGCATGACCACAAACATTTCCTAATATATGAAAAATGCCTACAAATTACTAAACACTAACATCTAGTAGAAAAATTGGCAAGCTCAGTTGAATAGTAAATTTATAGAAAAGGAAAAATAAGAAATTCAAACATGAACAAATACTTTCAAAACCATACTTAACAATGAGAATGACAAGTTAAAATTACCCAGATAGGAATGTATGATAATACAGACACCCTGGAAAACAATTTGTTAGTTCATTAATAAGTCAAAGCATATCAGCAGACTCAACATTACCACTCCTAAGCATGAACCAAGAGAAATAAAAATATATGTTCACAAGGAGACTTATATTCATAACTTTAATAGCTTCATTCATAATAGTCCTAAACTGGAAGCAAACCAAATGTCCATCACACAATAAAAGGATAAACAAATAACCAAACAATGGTTTATCCATCCAATGAAACACTATTCAGTGATATAAGGAATGAACTAGTGAAATAGCAATGAAAGCGTCATGCCAAAGTCGTCAGGCTGTTTAGTTCTATTTTTAAGACATTCCAGAAATGGCAAAACAAGGCTAAGAGAAACCAGACCAGGGATTTAGCTATGATTGACGTATAGGACGGTAATAGTTATGGGGGCACAAAGGAATTTTGTGGGAGGGACAGAAATATTATATGTCCCAACTGCCAATGATGATTAAGACTCTACACATTTGTCAAAATTCACTGAACCACGTCAATTGTAAATGCTCTGAGATTTAACCCTGTTTTCTTTTTGCTGAAGGGGAGCAGCAGGCAAGAGAGGAAAGGTCTGCTGCACCATGTGGGTCACCTCACTGGCTGGGGAACGAACTCATGCTGCAGTGGCTGCAGACAGCTTAATAGTGCGTGCACCAGGGAGGGCCCTTAACCCATTTTTAAGCAAAAAGGTTAGCCTGGCAATTTTATGGAAACTAACATTAGGCATGAGACTCCTGAGTCAGAGACAAAAACTACTACTCAGATTAACAGCAGTAATCAGAATATCAGCATTTTCTTTCACCGTTGCCTAGCTCCAAATCCCAGAGTGGGATCACTGGGAAGACTCAGGTAATATTTGCACATGCAGTGGATTGTTGTTACAGTAGAAAAGACTGAACTTAGGAAATGCACATCTTACTAAATGGTAGTAAGCATGCTTGCCCTCTGTTTTAGAAAGAAAACTGAACAAAGTCGTACACAAACCAACCTTTGCTCTATAGATACCACTTCTACCTTTCAACTTAGAAAAGATAGTCTAGAATAAAAGGTAGGCAGGTTGCTAATATATGCAGAAATGTGCAACAGCTGTGAGGAATTGTGTCCTAACAAATTTTACATTAAAAATTGATGAATTTTTATTGTTCATAAATTAGAACTCAATGAAAAACAAACTACTGAGAGACAAGGTGTACAGATAAAAGAAATACATGCTTAACTCCACCAAAGACAGGTATAAGAAGAAGGCTCTGATATTTTACTCATTAAAGTTGAAAAGTAGAATCAGTCAAAAATCCATAAGCAGAGCCTCCCTGGTGGCGCAGGAGTTAAAGACTGTGCTGTCAAGCTATCGCCAGCCACTACAGCAAGAGTTCAATCACTAGCCAGCCAGAGAGCTAACAAACCACATGGCACAGCAGACACCTCCAGTGTCACCCACTGCTCCTCTCAGTAGTATATTTCAGTATATCTGCTTGCTCTGCTCCCCACTCTGTTTCTGGTGAATCCTCTCACCCACTGCACCTCTGTCCTATACCCCACTTCTTGTATGCATAAATTTTTTTTTTTAAGATTTATTTATTTATTCATACAGAACTGGGGCATAGGCCATAGATGTGGAGGGTGAGAGACTTCACCAGAGACAGAGCAGAAGCAGAACAGGCAGATCAACGAAGTACACTGCTGAGGGGAGCAGCGGGCAGGTCAGGAGAGGTCTGCTGCGCCATGTGGATCTCCGGGGCCGGCGGGGATTGAACTCATGCAGAAGTGGCTTAAGCTTCTCAGTGCTGTGCTTTAACCTGCTGCGCCACCAGGGAGGGCCCTGCATAGATATTTTTTAAAAGCTTAATTTTAATATTTGTAAATGAGACCTCAGTCAAAAATGAAATTAAAAGTCTATCCAAAGTGTATGGTCAATTTTGCAATACTGATAAAAATTTAAACACATATGTTTGAATACTAAGTGATAAAATACACTTAGTATTTTATCCTATAGACATGACTAAACTACATGAGAATTTTTCACTATACAATTGTTAGTAGTGAAAGGTTGAAGCAACTACATGTTTGTGTGTGAAGAGACTAGACTATGGCACATATATATTATACACATAGCCATAAAAAAAAATGAGGAAATTCTAAGTATATAAACATCTAAAATACTCTTGGTTAAGATATAGACCACTAAAGGGTATTAGTGGGGGGAAAAACAACAAAAAATATAAAACATTTTATATGATGTGTAAACTAGTGTATACTATCTCTACAGGGAGACTTTCTACTATTCACTCTTTGCAGCCTCCAATACTGTACCATATAACTTTAGTATTTAGTAAAAAATACAGTTTAAATTAAAAAATACTAGAAGTATACATTTTTTCTCCCATGTAAAACTGTTACTTTATGGTTGAGAGCTTCATAGCAGTACACTTGGAACACACTCCCTAACCATGTTACAGTTACAGTGTAACAAAATTATTTGACAATGAACTGTTTTTTGGGAGAAAGGGGGAGAAACTACATTTTGAGTGATAGTGCAAAAGCTCAAAGGGCCTGTAATAAATTCGAGTTTGGCAACTATGGATTTATACCCTTGTACAGCCAGAACCAGATGCCAGCACTGCTGTCCTGTGATTTTCACAGATACAGTCCACTAATCACTTGTTGGTGATGAACTAAATTAGGTGTCTGAAACTGATTTTAGAGTGAGCATATTATCTGAATTAAGTCCTTTCTGTGCAGTCATCACGACCTTCCTCTTCAGCCTAGATTGCCTGTTTGTCTCAAGAATACTGCACCCAAGTTATGGATGCAACAAAGTGACTTCATTGGGATTGCTGGTCCTCATGCCCTGTGTGATCAGTATTCTAGCTCTGTGTAACAACCCTGAAGTCAATCAATGCCTTCAACAAGTAGTACTGCCAGGTAAAGTGTAAAAAACTAGATTGCAGTAACCATTTTTCTCCACCTGTTTTATTCTTTACTTCACCACTTTAAATAGTTATATCAGAAAAATCCACAAATCCAAAAAACAAAATTAATTATCTCAGTATGAATTTAAAATAGTACAAGATCATATAATTCTGACCATCTACCCAAGCACTTTTTTTTTTTTTTTAAGATTTATTTATTCATGCATACAGAACTGGGATACAGGCCAGAGTGGGGAGTAGAACAGGCTGACTGACGAAGTACACTGCTGAGGGGAGCAGCAGGTAGATCACCTCTGGGGCAGGCAGGGGATCAAACTCATGCTGAAGTGGCTTTAGCTTCTTAGTGCTGTGCTTTAAGCTGCTGTGCCACCAGGGAGGGCCCAAAGTTATTTATAATTACTTCAAAGCAATGTGAGCAGTGTCATAAAACACAAAAGGAAACAAGACGAAGGTAGGATTCATATTTTAAGAAAGAAAGTAGTATTTCAGGGGCTCTCCCTGGTGGGGCAATGGATTAAAAGCACTGCATTATGAAGCTCTCCAAAGCCACTACATCAAGAATTCGATCCCCTGTCGGGCAGCTGACCCACATGGCGTGGCAGACCTCTCCTAACCCACCTGCTGCTCCCCTCAGCAGTGTATTTCAGTGGATATGCCTGTTCTGCTCTCCATTCTGTCTCTGGTGATTCCTCTCACCCACCAACACCTCTGGTCTCTACCCCAGTTCTGTAAGCGTACACAAATAACTCTTTAATAAAAAAAAAAATTTTCCTAACTTTTAAAGACTTGTCAGTTGTTGGGTCCCAGCCGGGATGAGCCTCCCCAACCACCCCCGGAGCTTAAGCACAAGATCATAATAGGAAGACGACATCTTGCCACTTGTGTGAGTGGCTTAACTGATTAATATCCACCCTGATCGCAGTGGCACATGTGAGGGAGATTTCCTCCTGCCCCCCGGCCAACATCCTGAGATTAAGGGTATAAAAGGGAGGCTGGAAAGGATAATGAGAGAGAGAATGTTTGCTGCAACCATCTATGTGTGCTGACTCTTCAACCTCAACGTCCCCCCTACAGACTCGTATCCCTGCCGTGTGGGTGCGGCAGTCAGTGAGATGTGACAAGGGAGTATCTACTAAGGCTTTTGACTTCGCAGTCTAAATCTAAGCAATGGAGACACAGAAGAACCATATGAATTATATAAAATACCATCAACTTCATTTTGGGATTTATTTTGCTTTAAAATGGACAGAATTGACATTTTACCCCTCCTTTCACTCTGCTAACAATAACCAATCTGAAATTCTCTTATTAGCATTATCCTTTTATCTCTGGCAGAATTTATTATGCATGTATTAGAACTGCATATTACATATACTGACTTTGCCTGAAATCTGCATATTGCCTGGAAAGCATCAATGAAGGAAAAACATAATTATTAACCACAAATACAGGAAGGAGTTATTCTAAGAAGTGAGTGGTTCTACAATAGCACTATTACAGTTCAACACATTAGTGTGTTGAAAAGTACTCTGTCTAAAGATGCATCACAATTAAGTAGTATTAACAATATGGTAACAAAGTTAATGATTTTCATTTAAAAAATGTGAAAGCTTATCATTCTCATTCACTTTTATTCCCATAGATTTTTCAAATGGGAGAAAAAGCAGTGGAGTTATAATTAATATTTAATAATCTTACCATTTATAAATGATTTTTATTATCTACAGATTATGAATTTTTGGTTTCTTTCATATTTGAAACAAGTGTAGCAGTATATAGCATGAAAAAGCATGATTAAGACATTTCATTTACATTGCATGTTAAGAAGAATGTCAGTAGAAAGTTTATTACTGTTACTCTTATAATTGTGAAACAATAGATATATACTACAATTGACAAATAGAATGCAAAATAATGCTTGTTCAATAAAAGTTGAGCAGGAATTAAGATGGGGAAATTTCAATATGGTACATGTCACATACAATACAGCATTACTCTGAATAAATTTACAAGTTTGATCATGCCTACTTTAGCCATTATTAAAAAATTATACAACTCTGCTCTATTCCACTAGTACTGATTATAAATTTCATAATAACTAACAATTGTAGACATTTTACTTAAAAGTGCTTTCATTACATAAAGCACTTTCACCTAAATTATTTCGATTCTCCGACAATCCTAGAAGTAGATGGGTAAGGAAGGGATTACAAATCTATGCTTTTAAGTCTTTTTAAATGATTTACAATGAGATTGAAAGAAAGGTTCAAGATTTCTCACATGTTCTTCTGCTCTCACACATGCAATACCACTCACCAGAACTCTTACAAAGGATGCAACCTAAGTTAACAAACCATAATCACCTAAAGTCTAGTTTATCTCAGCATTCATCTCTGGTGTTATATACTCTATGAGCTTCGAAGGACAACATTAATTACTAGAACTTTACTAAAGAAACAAAAACTTGGACAGGGTAAATTACTTACCTAAATCACAAATTTATTAGTAAGTAAAGGAACAAAGATTTGAAACTAAGTCTTCTGTTTCCAAATGTCATGCTTTTCCATTGGGTCTTACTGTAAAAAGAAGAGAGCATTATTTAGAAAGCTGGCTCTAACAAAATGTATTGTATGTAGACTTTTAAAAGCCCATGCCTGATTGTAAACTTTCAGGTTTTCTGAAAGAATCCTGCTTTCTTTAGCTTCTGAGCTTTAGTATAAAATCATCCCCAAAAAACCTGTACAAGTGTATTCAAGTATCCTAGTCTTATTTCAGTACATACTTGTAAACATTTTTGGCTTCTCTGCTTCTAAGCCAAACTTCCTTGATGAACATGATAATGGAAAACGTGAAAGGGTCATTCTGTTGAACTTGACTAAAACAGTTCAATTGAGTATCTAACAGGGTACTTTTTGTCTTCCATTAGTACTGGTTAAGGTTACTTACTCAACTACCAAAGATTAAAAAATCATTTTAAGGTTAGCTCAGTATCTGGTTAAGTTTTAGCATAAGTAGTGGAAGCGACAGACCCGAAAACCCAGAACACAGCTGAGAGTATCTGATTATAATCTTGTTATTACACCTGAATGTCTGAAAGTTAAACTGGTCCCACAAGTAAATTTCCATGAAATTGCCAGGCTAATCTCCTTGCATGCAATTAGGGTTAAATCTCAAAACATTCACAATTGGCACAATTCAATGAACTGTGACAAATGTGAACCATCTTGTCATCATTATGGCAATCAGGTCATAAATTATTAATATTCCTCACCCAAAATTCCTTTGTGCGCCCTAACATTTATTTCCTCTCTTCCATACCTCAGCCCAAGCCAAACCCTGATTTGGTTTCTGTTAGCCTTATTTTGTCATTTCTCAAATGTCTTATGAATAGAACTATATAGCACATATAGCCTGCTCTGTGACTTCATTTGGCATGATGCTTTTGATTGCTATTTCACTAATTCATTCCTTATAGTACGGAGGACTCTAATAAGGACACTTTAAATAGTCTCAGTTTACTGATGCTCAATTCATTTTTCCTCTATTTTTTATTAAAGATATTGTCTACTGCTATGTCTTACCAATCTTTTCCTCTGCAATGTCTAATCTGTCATTGATTCTAACTAGTGTATCTGTTACCTCACACATTGTATTTTTTATGTTTAGACAATTTGGGTCCTTTCATGTCTCTACTTAAATACACAGAACAGTTATTCTAATCATTTTAAAGTTTTTGTCTGAATGTCTGTGGTAACTGTAACATCTACATCCACTCTGGGTTAGTTATTTTCACTCTTTATCATACACTGTATGTTTGTGCTTACTGCATGCCTGGTGGTTTGCGATCTGATATCAGACATTTTGAATTGCACTTTGATGGAAGTTGGAATTTATTTACTCCTAAACACTTTTTTCAGGACATAAATTACTTGTGAAAAGTCTGAACCTTCCAGGTCTTGCCTTTAAGGTTATGTTGGGTGTGACTGAAACAGTGTTTTTACTAGAGCTAATTATTCCTTACTACTAAGGAAGAACCTTCTGTGTACTCTAGCCAATGTCCCACGATCAAGATGTTTTCCAACCTGGCAGTAGAAGGAAGGTACCATTTCTGATTCCATGTAAACCCCAAATATTTTTTACTACTATCCCTTTAAAGGTTCTTTTCCTGGACTTCAGTAGATTCTTTACATCATATACTGGTCAGCATTCAGATGACTTGTTAAAGGTACCCTCTGAAACTTTGAAGAGTTGTATTGTTTCCAAAAGCTGGTTTGTTGGAAAGATAAAACAGACAAACCTCCATTCAAGGAGGAGAGAAAATGCGACTAGGTAGAATCAGAATGGAAAGTTACAGACATCTCAGAATACACAGGCTCTTAAGACCACAATGCACACCTATGCCAATACATCAGATAACCTAAGAGAAACAAAATTTTAGAAGCAACGATCTTGTAAACTGAATCCAAAGGAAAGAGAAAACCTGAACAGGCCAATGACAAGCAGGGAAATTTAAACAATAATGAAGTTTCCCAAAACAAAAAAAGCCCAGTACCATATCATTTCACTACTGTGATCCACCAAACCTTTAAAGACAAACTAATATCTATCCTTTTCAAATTCTACCCCCCCCCCAAAATAAAGGGAATGCTTCCAAACACATTTTATAAGGTCAAAATCACTCACTCTGATGCCAAAAGCAGGAAAGGATATCACAAAAATACAAAACTAAAGACCAGTATTTCTAATGAACACAGGTGTAAAATCCTCAACAAAACTTTAGCAAACCCAGTTGAACAATACTGTAAAAGCATACAGCATGACTAAGTGGAATTTATTCTAGGGATGTAGGATGGCTCAGCATACACAAAATTTACCACATCAACAAAGGGAAAGATTTTAAAAATCTTATGATCTTATTGAGAGATGCAGACAAGGCATCCACTTACATTAAAAACTCAAAAAAAAAAGGGGGATAGAACAAATACAGCTCAATATAATAAAGGCAATATATGCTAAGCTCACAGCTTAGCATCGTACTAAATGGTGAGAAACAAAAGGCTCTTCCTTTAAGATCAATAGTAGATGTTTGTATTCACTGCTATTTTTCAACAGTGTTGGAAGTCCTAACTAGAGCAATTATGCAAGAGAAAGATGTGAAAGCAATCCAAACAAGAAATCAAGCCATAAAAAAAAAATCACTATTTGCAAAAGACATAATACATTCCACTAAAACTATCAGAATCAGGTACAATCAGTACAATCTCTGTACAGTGAAGTGAAAGCTACAATATCAATATACATGAAAAACACAAGGAGCTAGAATAGATTAAAAAAAGAACCCCACCCATATACAATTGCATCAAAACAAATTAAATACCCAGGAATAAACCTAACCAAGAAGGCGAAACAATACCTGGTACAATGAAAACTGTAAGACATTATTAAATGAAACACACAAAGAGGAGGATAGTCCTTGATCATGGGTTGAAAGAATTAAGAGTGCTAAAGTAGCCATATTGTCTAAAGCAATATACAGATTAAATGAAATTCCTATCAAACTTTCAGTGGCATTCTTCAAAGAAATAGGGCAAACACTACAAAAACACAAAGACTGCAAACAGCCAAAGTAGTTCTGAGATAAAATTAATAATGGAAGTATCACACTCTTAGACTTCATACTGTATTACAAATCTATAGTAATCAAAATATGATAATGAATTAAAAGTCTACAAATAAACCCACACTAACAAATGAACATTTATAGCAAAGAAATCAATAAAATACAACAGAGAAAGGAAAGTTTCTTTTATGAAAAATCTGATAGCCATATGAAGAATGAAGGTAGACCACTATCTCACACCATACATAAAAATGAATTCAAAATGGATCAAAGACATGGGTGTAATATCTGAAATCATAAATATAGAAAAGGAAAACACTGTGAGACACAGCTTCGGGGGGCGTGATTTCAATAGCAAGGAAACAAAAAGCAAAAATAAACAAATGGAGCTATGTCAAACTAAAGCGTTAGCACAGGGAAATACACTAATATTAAAAAGCAAAGACACCTGCTAGCTGGGAAAATATTTACACATCATACATTTGACAAAAGGCTAATATCCAAAGAACTCATATAACTCAGCAAAAAAGAAATAACCCAATTTAAAAAATAGGGTAAATAGCTAAACAGATTATTTCTCCAAAGAAAACATACAGGTGGCAGGTAGGCACATAGAAAAAAAATGTTTAGTATCATTTATCATCCAAAAAAATGTAAATCAAAACCACAATGAGCTATCACCTTACTCCCATGAGAATGACCCATACCAAAACAGACAGAAACAAGTATTAGATATAAAGGAAAAAGAACCCTCTTACATGTTGGCAGAAACACAGACTGTCCAACCACCTACAGAAAACAGTATGGAGGTGTCTCAAATAGTATAACTGAAGTGCAATATTGTAATTCCACTCCTGGGTATCTACTTGAAGAGTAAAACACAAAACAAAACAATAAAGGGATTTATGTACTCCTATGCTGCCCAATGAGTGGATTAAAATGCAGCCCTCATACACAAAGGGATACTACTAGCTATTAAAGTAAAAAGGTGAAATCTTGCCATTTTTCAATAACTAGATAGAACTGGACAGGATTGTAATAAGCAAAATAAGTCAGAAGGAGAAAGATAAATATTGGATGACTTCAGTCATATGTAACACATGTAAAGTGTTTAGAGTCAATCTAGCTCATAATAAGTACTCAGTAAATGTAATAGCTAATATTACTAGTGTAATTCTTGCTATTACCAGAGTACTTTACCAGAAACCTATAGTTAACAATGTACTTAAATCTAACAATTAGAAATTAGAAATGTTCCTATTCAAGTCAGGATTCAAACAAGGTATTTGGAGTCATCACTTTTCCTACAATATTCTAGGAAAGCGCAACTAAAATATAGTACACAAAATATAAAAAAGAAAACTTGTAGATGACATGATCATGTATCAAGAAAATGAATGAGAAATTAGAAACTATTAGAACTTTTGAGGGTTTAATGTAACGAAAGATCACCAAAGTATAATAGCTTTCTTATTACCAATAATAACCAATTAGAAAATGTGAAATTAGAAAAAATTCTATTCAAGAGATCAAAAATTTATCTAGAAAAAAATTTAATCAGGACTACTCAAGAACTTGAGACATCAGTTCTTCATAAACTAATGTATTGATGCAATGTAACTTAAAATAAATTGCAAGATAGTCTATTGTAAAACTTTACAAATTAAAAAAATTACGTAAAATATAAAACTACCAAAAGCCAATTTTCAAAAATAACGTACCATCTACTAAAACGTACTATAAAATTTAATTAAAACATGGCAATGGCTGAGGAGTAGACAAATCAACAGTACCGAAGAAAAAATCCAAAAATTGGCCAAATATATGTAAGAATTTAATACCTGACAAAAGACAAAAACATCTCAGACCATGGTGGAAATAAAGGCTAGTCAATGAAAAGTACTGGGACAATTGATTCCACAGGCAAAAAATAAGAGCCCTATATACTCCAGATTAAGGATCTACATGCAAAAGCAACATTGTAAAAGTATTGGGAAAAAACAGTATGCTTATGATCTTCAAGTACAGAAGGTTGTTCACAAATTATCTGATGACCATATTCTCACCAGTTTAAGAAATAAAACACTAGACTTATAGACTTATAAAAACCAATAGCTCTTGCCCTTAGTAAGTTCAAAGTTTAGAGAGGAAGAATACACACACACACACACACACACACACACACACACACACACACACACCACTACAGAAGCAGAGAGAACACCCAGTGTAGTCAGTCCCAGCTCAGGAGAGGCCAATCCTGACGTAACTCTTAATTTTTTAACAAATGTAGCTCTTTTATCATCTATTAGCTAACTTACTTCTCCTTAAATGTCACTAAGAATACTAGATAGACATAGTCATGACATATAACTGAAGGTTTTCTAGACATAAAGTGGCCAACGTGAGAACTATACATCTTTAATTCTAATTGTCCGGTGAAGATTACCAATGGCAAAATCCCAGCACATGTCAGCTGACCACTTACACACACAATATTTGAAACACAGCTCTGATGAGTTTTTGTGCTGGGGTGGGAGAAGGAGAATTTTAAAGAATATTCCACAATAACAGATTGTGCAATCAATATGAAAAGCACTATTTAAAAGTAATGAAACTGATTCACCTTAGCAAAGGATGAAACAGATTAGTTTGAGGAAAGGAAATGAAAACTTCAAGGCCAGAATATTAAGGTTTGTATAGGACAACAGATTTCTTATGCTTAAAGGAATGAAGTTCAAGCTTTGAATATTTACACATGACGTTTTAATACAATAATTTATATTATAGCCACATTTCAAAAGATGTAGCTCTCTTATCCATGATCAATTAACTCATTTCTCATTAAATATCACTCAGATATACTAGACAGAATAAAAGAAACACCACAGCCATCATGACAATCACAAGGGTTTCTGAAGCTTTTCACATTGTTGACATTTGTTTCTTGAATTTCTATCTCCTGGTTTTCATGTAACCATACAATGTCACTTATTTTTTTTACCCTTTATCCACTTTACTGAATTCTCTGCTAGTTTTACTTCCTGATTATGAACTCACCCCCAAAGTATTCAGCATCTATTATTCTTTTAAAATACTAACTTCTTTCAAGACATATCATGTAAATTATTCAAACAAAATAATTTCAAGAATTCTGACTTGAACCTCTCTTTTAAATACAGTTACATAGCATGGTCTTAGATATCCTGCCTCTGCTCCAAATTTAACAGCCTTAAAAACGGTACACATATATACACATGTTCTCATACATTCCCACACTCTAAAAAAAAAAAATCACAACACTTATCTCCCCCGCCCCTTAATCCTCTTGAATTGCCTAAGTCGTTGGATTTTAATCCTCTTGAATTGCCTAAGTCGATGGATTTTATCTGCTGTCCTTTTCCTATCTAGTACAGTCTAGTTTTTCTCAGTTATAAATTATCTAGTCTTTTTTTTTCATCTGTCCCTTCCTTTTCATCCTCCATCGAGACCCACCTAATACAGGCACTGATCACTTCAACATTTAATAACTGCCTTCCTGCTTCCAGTGTCTTCCTGCCTACAAATCATTCTGAACATTATGGGTGAATGAATTTTTCTCTAAAGCAGTACTTGAAACTTGTCACTCTCTTTGACACTTTCTAAAGAAAAATAGAAAATATTTCAGCTATTTATGAACCTAATAATTTCACTTCAGTGTGCCTGTCCAATTTACCTTCTCCAACATTTAAAACCTAGTGTATGTAAGAAAAACCCTCTCCTCAGACTTCCCTGAGATTATCTTACCACTATACTTCCAGAAATGGCTAGCAAACAGCTTTCTACTCCAATCACATGCTTAAATTATTTTAGTAGTTCCCCAAATACAAAGCAAATATTTAAGGCCTTAATTTTACTTGACCTTACCATGCCACTCAAACCCTAGCAAACTGATTCACTTTTCTAACATACTTTGTTAATTTTAGAATTTGTGTATTATGTGGAGGGCAGAACCTATTTAGAGCAGGCAGGTTTAGAGGTTCTGGGGTGCCCCCTCCCTACTCTGTAACACACACATGCTATGCCCCTGCCTCTAGATTCTGTCACCCTCTGTTTGTAACTCAGATGAAACATCTGTGGAATTTCCCCCCGTTCTTGCAAAAAGCAAACATATTTATGTGTACAGTCCCCTAATAACATTCATAACAATATTGTATAAATATATATTGATGTCCTCAAAATCTAATATAAGTTGAGGCACACAGCAGGAAAGAGTGGATTCTATATAGTATGGCCTTATTATTCTGGTCACTGTCAGTTATACTATATATATCACTGTTAAAAGGGTTTAGATTAAGTCTAGTTGGGTATGAATTTTGGACCTACCACTTATTAGTCATGGGGCACTGAGCAAGTTAATGAACCTCTCAGTGCTGCAGATACCCTTTCCATTAAAAACAAAACAAAAACAAAAAACCTCAATTATGAAAATTAGGTGACTATTCAGGCAAAGTGCTAGAATGATGACTGACACAAAATAAGCATCCTACATGTATTTGTTACTATAACAAATATACCTTGATTATTTCTTATCCTTTTTAAAAAGAATTCAAATTAGAATGGGTTTTCTACTTTTCCCCTTACCCAAATTTTACCCAGGTTTTAAGGCTAACCTCATGTAAATCCTTTGATCATTCAACCCTTAAATGATGGCTCAAACATTTAAATGTCAATAGCATTTTTATCACTGCAGTTAATTAAAAATGCTTTACACCCTTGACTTTTTCACAGATGTTTGTCAACCAACTTTCTGTAATTATCTGATACAGGGCATCTGTGTGAGTTCCTACAGCCAGTACTAAGTACTTAAACAAAGCTCAACAGTACTTAAACAAATCTCAACTGATTATCCTACATTGTCTTTGCAATTAAAAAAAAATATATATGGTTAAGACTCTTGAGAACATTCTATGCTTCTCTAAAGCCAAGCCGAAATATATTAGAGCCAGGGAATTCTAACGCCCATTAAAATGAGACGCTCTAAAATAGTTTATGGGAGGAAAAACCCTCCCGGGAGTGGAGCTTAGAGACCAAATTGTGGTAGTGGATCCTATATGAGAAATCATCTTGTGAGCATAACAAAAAGGTCAAGAGTACAACATTTGCAATTACAAATCAAGGAACCGAGTCTCAATTTCTTTCTCTGCAGAGGATGTTTTACCACCTACTTCGCAGATAACATAATGAACATTCACACTAACATCTAATTTATGTGCTAACTCCTTTGGGAAATTTCTTAAATAAACTTCACACTACAAATCACAAATAAAAATGAAAGCGGTGAACACGTTTTCCACTATATATAAGAAACTGTATTAAGTTAATTGGCAGCATAATACTCAAATTACCTATGAGAAAATAAAACACGTACAATATTACCAATTAAGATGAAAAAATTCTTCTATAACATTTATCCTCTTTTTTGACACTTTCTCCTTCCCGCAATTTCTTCCATTTGTTATTAAAAACAAACGTTCAAAAGTATCCCAAAAGATATTAGGAAAGCACAACTTAGTAAGTCGGTTCTATACAAGTAACACACTAGTTTATAATTCAAAGATACTTCCGAAAAGGAATTAACAGGAATTCAAGAAAATAAGTCCATAAGGAGCAGCACATACAATGACCTGTTATCAGTAATTTCAAATTAAGAACTGTCCCAAGTGGAAGCCGGCAGTGCTGCGGAAAGTGTTTGTTTACAGCACTGCCTGGAGCAAACCCTCCCTCCAATCTTTTAGAAGATTCATCCTGGGATACTAATAAACATTTTAAAGGCGTATAATTTCTGAAGTTCCCAACACGGCATAAATTAAACTGAGATGGGTTTCCCGGATTGTTCAACCTGTAGTTACGAATAAAATGATGTCCTCCCACTGAAATAAACAGAACCGTGCTGCCGCGAACAACCTTTAGCGTGAGGGATAGAATGAAAATGGAAAGACAAGGACGCGCTGCCTTTAGGATACGAAGGGATGCCTCAGGAATGGCTGGAAATAGAGACGCCAGGAAGGCGTTAGGGAACAATGGTTGTAAGCACCGGGAACTTTCAGCACAGGGGGGGTGTTTCAACTTAAGGATGGAGAGATCTTTGGGGAAGGAACTTAATCTCTGAAAATTAAGAGTCAAGTGCGAGATATAAAGGGGGTCAGTAACCAAAAAGGGCCAGAAGCGAGTTTTGGGTGTGCGTGGGTTTTGGGGCGTGTGTGTGTGTGTGTGTGTGTGTGCGCGCGCGCGCGCGCTTATTTTTAGGGTCAAGAAACCCAGACTTGTGGAAATCAAATTCGGAAGTATGGGAGCAAGGCGAAGAAGGAATGTGGGGATTTCCAAGCTAGCACAGCCAAGTTTAGGAAGCCCGCTGTCTGGGCGCCCCTCTCCGGAGACCGGTGCCCTCCCGCCCCAGCACCTCCCTGAGTATCCAGTTCCGCCTGCCCGTCGGCCCCGACCAGGCCTTCGCCCTCACCAAACACAGCCCAACGCCCGGCCACGGTCCCTCCTCACCTCAGGCCACGGCGCCCCAAAGCTCCGCGTCTCAGCAGCGTTCGTTCCCCTCCACCCTAGCTGGCCGGGCCGGGTGCCGCGCTCCGGGGTTCAGCTACGCCCCGGCTGTCCCACGCAGCTCAGCGCGACTCGCAGGCCCCGAGGCGCCTCACTCCGGATCTGGCTCACTCCGGACTCGTTCCCGCAGGCTCGGCGCGCGGCCCTCCACCCGCGCCAGAGAGAAATGCACGCCCCCACCCACCCCGCGGCGATCCGCCGCGCCCCGCCCCCGGGTTTTGAGCCTGCGCGCTAATTGGTTCTCGCGAGACCCGGCGTGCCTAGCCATTGGCCCAGCGGTCTCCAGACGGTGAGGGGGCAGGACAGCAGGAGTCTGCGATTCCCGTAAGGCGGCTCCCGGCGTCCGGGATTCCGGGGGTTGCGCCCAAATCTCCACTCTTAGACGTGATGGAAGGGTTCCCCCACCTCCCCTCTGCGTACGGGAGAAGCGGAACGTTCCATTTTTCTGTGGAATAACAGGTCGTCAACTGAAGTCCGGGGGCTGCTGCCTTTTTTATCGCGCCGCCGAGGCCTTCCGTCCGGGCCTTCCGCGAAGGACTGAGCGGCTAGGAACCGCCGGCGTCGGTTGAGCGGGCCAGGGAAAGTGAAGGCTCGGTGGCCGAGGCTCCTCGAGAAATTACCCTACGTTGTGGCTGCGGAGGTTTCGGTCCTACCCTTATGTAAACGAACCTTACTTACCACTGCATCTGTTTTTAAGTTAGTAAATGCGTTTGGGTGCGATTGATCCGTGAACCCCAGAGTTGGTGACCTGCCAAGAAACTAGTTTTTCTTTGAGGTTTGTACCTCTGATCCATGATAAAATAACTGAAATAAAAACCTATTTCATTGTAATTTTCTCTTCCCCTGCTTACCCCTGGCGTGGAAAATGAACCTTTAGGTTCACTTCGTTAGTGTTCCCCGCCTCCTCCCCATTCCCCAGCAGGGTGTGAAGCTTAAGATTTGGGGGGGGGGGGGAGAGTGTTGAGGATTCAGATAGAGTAAAACAGACCAAAATATGATCGATCTTAAAAAAAAAAAAAACAGAAAAGTGAGCCTGTTGTGTGTCTAGTGCTAAGGCAATCCTGGGTAAGCTTGAGGATGGTACTATAGCTCCCTGTCAGACCCCTGTTTCTAATCTACAGTGCCTGAGGATATAATCTGGCTCTGCCGTTTTATAGGGATGTTTAAGGCAAACTTTAATAAAGTTTTGTTAATTTTATTTAACTAGCAGACATTTATTTATGGACATTGTTTGGTGATTATGTCTACCTCTGATTCAAAATTGCCTGGATTTGTATCCTGGTGACAGCGACCTTGGGTGGGTCTTTCAGTTTTTCATATGGAAAATCAGAATAATGTGCGATCTTATCAGGATTACTGCAAGGGTCAAGTCAAAATACACAAGTTATGTGCTTGACACATAGGTGCTCAGTAAATAGCTATCACCACTATTGCTTGTTTACTATGGCAACAGCTCCCAAGTCTTTTTCCATGACAGCCTATAGTAAAAATGGTATTTCTCTGGCACAGGGAATGGACAGGGGATCAATATCTCACAGCCTGCTGCCTTACACCCTTGCCAGCAAAAAAAGCTCAGCTCTTTTGTGGCTATCCTTGTATATAGTCTTACTGTGGCCTTAACCCCTAAGAGACCCACATAATGTGGAGACACTAAAAGTGGTAGGCTGAAAGAATGAATGCGTATTCTAGAGAAAAAAAATGTTCAGGACAGAAAGAGCCCTTCTCTCCCTGACTTTGCAAAACCTATGTAGAATTTTGGCCTAGAAATGACCAGTTTTAGATTGAGAATTTGTCATCTGAAAGCCCGGTCAAAATGTAAAGGGGAAAGTGACATATTAATCAAGAACTTTCCACCACTTAGGATTTGGGATGTGTCAAAAGCAGATGTGGGAGAAACTGTACAATAAGAGGGCAACGTGGGAACACTGAGGTTGCTTGAAAGTAGGTGAACAAAACTACGGGGGAAATGCCACAGAATAGGTCATACATGTTGAGAACAAAATTGCCTCCCTTCTATTTGCATAAATATGGCAGCTGACCAGAATAACCATTTACTTCTTTGCCAGTGCCCAACTGTGTTTCTGAAACTGTGTCAGCCTGGAAACTATCACTAAGTCTTGTTTTAACATTTTGATTTCAGCATCCATGACAATGACTCAGCACCCTTAACCTCACACTTGTTTATCCTTCTTTTTCTAATGACCTGACCCTATATCATATGTAAAACTACACCTTGAAATCAGTGACCAGGTGAAATTACTGCACTTCCAAAACTTCGAATTGTCTAGCCACAGGCACCATACCCCTCTACTTCTTTTATTATCTTCAGATCCCTTGACCTTTAACCAGGTGTACCTTATCAATGCTCTTTCCTATTTCCCTTTTCCTTGAATGACAATTCCCACCCTCAGCATTTATTCTTAGGATGGAACCTTGTTTTATTATTTCCTGGAAAAACCAAGAACATCATTTGTGAGCATCCTTGATTTTTCTCAGCTTAAGCAACTGTATATTTATCCTTTTACTCTTTTTTTCCACTGCCTCAGAGGAAAAAATCATGCCTATTCCTTTAAAAGTTTTCTTTCAGTCCTATTCCTACTAAGTTCAGTTCCCTGGTTTTATATTTTTCATTATGAGCATAAAACACCCTATAAAATTTTTAAAATATTAACTCAAAGGGGAGTTGGGGATAACTTCTCCATCTGTGAAATATAATAGCACTTTGTTTGCCAAACAAAGTATTAATTCTGAAAATGAAGCAATGTAAGACAAATAGTAGTTCACTGAGGAATAAGTAAATTGGGAACTTCAGTCAAGTTGTTCCTCAATTTTCAAGCTAGAAACCAAGAAAATTTAATTTCAAAGCAGTAAAATAGGCAACATAATGACTCCATTTACTAAAGAGCAATATGGAAAATGAGAATTCCCTAAGAGTACAACTTGAAAATTTTTCATAAATTGGACATGAACAGAGTCATACATGACTCTGTTGTGTCAGATCAAGAAACAGGACCAGCACACCAGGCCTGTTCTGTTCCCTTAAAGTTCTTATAAGACCACTGGTGACCTCCATTCTGACTCTAATGCTATAGATCTAACCCTGTTCAAGCCTCAGGTGAGCCAGCATCCCCACCAACAACTTGATAGCAGCTTTGTTGAGACCCAGTGAAATTTTCTCAATGATTTCAGATTTAAATTCATTCAAATGTTTCAGGATGGTCATCTGCTTTTTCTCCGAAGTGAGCTAACTTCTGATTAAGTAGAAAAAGGCTTCTGGTCTCAGTTTAAACAATACCCTAGTAGCTATTGAGTTGAATAATAGCTCCATGTGGTTCTTGAGTGTCTTTACCGCCACATGATGCACCTGCAGAAATGTCTTTGGCCCATCTCACTGTGCATGCAAATTCCAAATCATGTTTCACTTTTGTGACTGCCAGGACTATAAGACACATAGACCCTTTGCTAGCTCAATTCGGTGCCATTTTTGGGAATGTAGAGAACTTAGGTGTTCACCTGTGCCTTCTGGGACTAGCATTTCACAAAGGTTGACTGAGGTCTTCCCTACCTATGCCACTCAATGTAATCATCTGTAGTCTACTGCTGTCTCAATATTGTGGCCTAGAAAACATGCTGGGTTGCTTTCTACCAGGATTTCTAATGGTAACAGATCCCAACATCATCGTTGGGATCTACCTACCTTGAAACTAACCCCAAAATATACTACCTGTTTGAGGAAACTTTTATACATCTTCTCTACTTTTCATTCTCTTGCTTATAATTAATTCTTTATCTTTGCTCTCCCCAACTTGGAAAGTCTATAGCCTGAAAGTATTAATATTTGGATTTTCCTTCAAAAATTTTTTAAAAGATTTATTCATTTATGCACACAGAACTGGGATACAGGCCAGAGGTGCAGGAGCGAAGAGAAGATTCACCAGAGACAGAGCAGGGAGCAGAACAGGCAAATGGTACTGAAATATACTGCTGAGGGGAGCAGTGGGCTGGTCGGGAGAAGTCTACTGACCATGTGGGTCACCTCCCCAGCCAGGGATCAAACTTGAGCTGCTGTGGCTACAGATAGCTTCATAGTGTTGAGTTCTAACCAGTTGCGCCGCCAGGAAGGCCCCCAAATCTTATTTTCTAATACTATTTTTTTGTTTGTTTTGCTTTGTTTTTCCAGTTACCATTATGATCCAAACAACTTCCCATGTTGTTCAAAGCTGTTTTAACTTTAACCTTGTGACTGCATTCATGAAATTTTTGTTAGCCAAATTAAATCTCTCAGTAGAGTCCATTGGTCTTAGCAGTTTCAAATCGGCCTGGTTCTAGTCTTGGAAGAATGCGGCTCCCTGGCTGTTCCTACTATTCTTGCCTCTCCCACAGTGAAGCCCTAGACATACTGCTTGCTTTTGAAGTTTAGTTCGTAAGGGGAGAGGAGAGGTATTGGGCCTACTTTGCCTTACCCCACCCTCCCCCAGTAGAAGAACTTAAGGCATCAATATATACTCTTATGATCTGGGAAACTTTGTAGCTTGGTAAAATACAAAATTAAAACAGTGGGAAAAATTAATTAGAATTAAGATAGATCATGGATGGAAGGAACTGGTACACGTGACTCTGAAAACCCTCAGCATGGCCCTGGCATCAGCCTCAGAGAACATATAGAGTCCTTGTACAAGGAATTTTTCATTTTGGTTGGAATTTTCATTTGTAACAGTGCCAATTTCTTTAGAGTTTGGCCAGAATAGTTCAGATCCTGAATTTGTGGGTCCAAACTCATTTGTGCTTACTTTTAGTAGAAGTGTCAGACTGAATCTGTGGACTCAGTAGACACTGTGCCAAACACAATATTTTCTTCTTTGAGGCAAATAATAAGTTCCAATATTCTTCTCAAGCTTTTCTCACATAAGGAAATAGGTCATTTCATTAAAACTGCCCTAGAGGAAATTATATAAGAGTACTTGTAAAGCTAAGATTTTATAAGAAGTAACTATACCAATACAGAGAATTATTAATTACTATTTTGTGCCTTCAGATGATATTTTGTTTGTTGGTTTCTAAGTGAAGTTCACAGTGATACCAGTCATTACAAGGGTGCAAGGAACTAATAAATGGGTGGTAGTTGGAGGCTTTAATCTA